AATATTTTATTTTTTATAAACAATTTAAGGAAATTTCGGCGAAAAATCGATTTTTTTGCGAAACTGCCATTTTGTCAAAAAAAATTATTTTGCTTATTCCTTCGATTAATTTCTAGATTTGACATTACTCTAACGAAATGTGTTTGGTTTTTTAATTCGGATGACATTTAGTGGTCACCGAAAAATGTATTTTTTAAGAGGAGCTCCCGGAGATCAGGTGTAACTCTTTTCCAAATAAATATTTTTACTAATTCTAACTCTTAAAATACAGTTAAAAGATACTTTAATATGTGTATAAATTTTGGGATCAATAAGTAAAAAAGTTTCTTCAGAAAACACTCTGAAAAATGCACTTTTTTGGCCCTCTAACTGTATGTAACCCCTTAAATAAATATAATTCTTTGTTATCATAATTCTCTAAGTTTAAAAATCCCCAAAACCAAAACTATCTGCATCCTGGGACAATCCTCTTTTATTTTCCAGTTAATGTTAAGAGCTCCTTTGAAGTCAATTGCAATTCGTGAACTTACTTAACATTAGGGCCAACAAGCGGCCAACCAGTTTTTCAATAATTTCAATTAATTCAAATAAATAATGAAATTATGTGGCAGAGAACCCACTCTCACACCCACCACCCACACTCTATCCCGTGATTATCTAAGCTTAATCCCGAACTGGATACACATCGCAGTGGAGCATATATATAGCCACAGCTGCGATGATATATATTCAGGATGTGGGATGTGCAGTCGCCAAATAAAAGTAAAAAAAGGAAAAATAACAAGAAAAGCTCACTGCGATGGGAAAAGCTCGCTTTGGGGCGCTGTCCCAATTGGAGAAAATTTTCCGGGCTTTGTAGACTTTGGGCAAGTTAGTTGAAGTTGTTGTTTTCCCTGCATTTTGGGCGGCGCTATACGAAATTGTGTCAAACTGGGCGCCGAACACGCCCCGAAAGCACGGAGACCGGCCGGCGAGGTCTGGACCACGGACCATGGCTATCGAGAAGCTTCTCTTAGAGGAGATAAGGAACTGATGATTGAGATAGGAAACAAAAAAAGGCTTCAAGATGCTACTGTTGGCTTAAAGAGCATTTATTTTTGGAAAGAAATTATAGAGTTCGAATTTTTCCATTATGAATAATATTTTAGTTATATTCTGAAATATATTCAAAACCGAGAATTTTTAAATTAAGGATAATATTTGAGGAAAATCAGGGTTTGTCTGAGAAGAAAGCATTGTTATATTTTTTAAAACAAAACTTGGCCATAAAAATAACTTATTCATGTGGTTCTACCAACCAGTAATTAATAATTATATATATTAAATAATATATATATATTTTATTTTATATTTCCCATTGATTTCAAACTAAACAATCTTTGTAAAAATTGAAAGATTTATATAGTTTCTACAAAGGTTTTTAAACATATTTAAAGCCCACCTGCAGGCCAGTTTTCGCAACGAAAGAAACTATTTCCACGACAAATTTTTGGGGAAAAAACCCCCTTAAGCGTTTAAATTATTAATAGTTGGGTATTTTTCAGGTTGTACCAGGGGTTCCTAATGGGTAAATATAAGGGGGTGAGGTTGATGTGGCACAGGACACTTGCAAGCTCTGTCACGTACTTGGGCAACTCGTACGCAAAAGTTGTGCCAAGTTCTCGAGTCAACATCGGACTTGCACACACACAGAGCTACTTAATTGAGTGCTGGGAAGCAGTAGGCACATCCTGTCGAGCGTGAGTGTGCGGCCCCAGGATATCCACAAAATATATGGAAATAGGCAAGACGACGAAGTGAAGAACGAAAGGATTGCAGAATTAACCCAAAAACAACAGCCGGTAACAAGGATTATTAATAAAAAAAGAGAGAGAGAGAAAAAAGGAAAACTATTTAGCATTAAACCCCGTTCTGGCGCTAAGGCTCTTACAGCACTCTAAGCTCACTTAAGCCGAACACAAACAAAAATAAATCGATATACACATAGGTAATGCCAGGGTATACCACATCTTTGGCTGATCAAAAAAATCACATGTCACGTAGCACAACCATTTCACAGCCACGCACACGTAGTGTTTATTCGGCTGAAAGTTTGTACCACATTTACTTTAAATTTCTAGTGGTTTGTTCCTATATTTTTAAACTGAGCTTAGTTTATGTTTTATTCACAACTTAAACCTATTATTAGTGTAATACTACTCCTTAATTAATCTGCGATAGGTAAACACAAAGCAAGAGCACTTGAACTTAGATATATCTACGAGCTAAGGGAGCTCTTCTCATACTGCAATTCGATCCGGTGAGCTTTCCCTGAAAAGAGGCCTGACTTCAACAGGTGCTCGTTGAGCCGTGCACTTACCAATTAGCATATATGCACTTCAGTTGGCACCACCCCACCCCTCCCCCTCTTATCCTTTGACCCCAGCCCATCCTTTAGGTCCCTGGCCGTGTGCAGTTCCTTGCCGGAGACCAAACATCCTTGCTCAAGTGGCGTTTTAACGCTTCAAATGCATAACGAGGACGGCTCAGAGGGGTTAAGTCACTCGCAAAGCACTCGCACTCATACTCACACTCGCCGCAAACACACTGGGAAAAAAGTGGGGCTTTAGGGGGAGGAAAAGCAAAATAAGAGCGCGATTAACTTATAAAAATATATATAGACAGGAAACCTTTTTTCAGATTTAATTACATTATAATTAAATATGGAATTTAAGGAATATATATTTTATTCAGTATACTCATAAGCCAGAGTAGGATGAGATATAGAAAGGGTAGTGTAATTGCTTTAAGAGGCAAAAAAAAAAGGAATCACACAAGTCGCTGCAAATCAGCTAATTTCATGCTCACTCTCCCTTTCTTTTATCTTCCCGAAAAAAGGCATCAAAAAAGAATAAATAAAAGAGAGAGAGAGAGAGAAAGAGTTAGTGATGGCAAAGAACTTTTAACAGCCATCGAGTGACTTCCGTTTCCGCCAGCCGAAAAATCCTCTCAAACCGAAAACCAAAAACCAAATCCTACAAATGCTAATCAGCTGAATAGCAAATCAGTTAATCTATATGCCACCACAAATCGATTAAATCAGTGGCCATATATATATGTACATATCTATCTATATATATACATATATAACATGGCAGTTTGATATTTATGCGTTTTGGAACCCAGACAGTGCCTGTGATTAATATAGCTCTTGGGTTTTTTTATTCTTAATTAATATATTAGCAAAGGAATCACAAAAAATATTAAAGATGCTTTAGATATTAGTACTAGATAGTAAAACATGTTGTACGTTTTTAAAAACGTAAATTATTTTTGTCCCAATTGTTGAAACTTTTTAAGGGTTTTAATTATTTTAAAATGATTTCTGGATAGATCAACATATTTTGTATATTATTATTTATCATATTATATTATATATTATATTTACTAAGGTAAAACAATCATTTAATTACAGCTCTTATTCCAAAGAATACACATAAGTTCTTTTAATTTAACAAGCGATAAGTAAATTATAACAAGTATTATTCCATCTTTAAATTTAATTTTTTTCGCCCCAACATAATGTACACTTGAATTTATTTTTTATTTTATTTTGACTCTTAACCCCCCTTAAAAAAAAACTCATGTGAAAAGCACTTAGTTGTGATGCTGTTATGACGTATACGCCCCGTATGCCGCGCGCTATGCAATGGTGCCTATGTATACATATTCTCTTGTAAATAAATGGACTTGTGTCTGTGTCAGAAAGAGACGGGACTTGGACTTGCAGTCCGTGTGCCACCACCCACTTCCCACCTCATCTCTTATTACCACTTTTGGGGTGGAGTAAATAAAGAATAAATAAAACGACAAAATCTAACGATGCGTTATGCGAATATTTGCATTCGAAATTGAGAAATTTTCTCTCTATAAATGTGCGTGGGTGCAAGCCAGCTGAATATATACACACACACCCACAACCGGAACACACCCTGGCACACACACACACACTTGTCACGAGCATCACTGTGTGAATAAGTTTATGTATGTGTATTACATACCAAATTTAGTACAGGGTGAGTCCTTATTAGGTATAAGCGTATAGGTATGAGAGTATAGCACATAAAATCTATTATATTAGCTTGGGGAATTTAGGAAAATACTATATGAAATGCTTATGCTTTTAACTTATCTTAGCTTAGACATCTTGGAAACTATAATTAAAGGTGGATAAGCTCTATAAACTGTTATTAAAGAAATTTTTCTTAAATAATATATAGTATTCTATACTTTTAGACGACTTTACAGGCAATTTCCAGTCTCTATGGGGTTTTGTTTCACTCTATTTATCTATATATACACTTATATTAAATAGAATCCTTGCTTACAACATTTGGAAACTGTTAGCAGGAGGAGCACAGAATCACCCTCTGTTTCGCATGGTTGCATGGCACAAATAATTTCTACATTGCTCGAATAAACAAGACAAGAGCGCCGGCACATGAAGCCAACCAAAGGCGCCCAAAACAACAACAGCAACAGTGGTGATGAAAACGATGAAGAACCCTCGAGGAACCCAAAAATTATTCACAGCATACACAAGCACTGGCATACTCCTGTATAGACATGGACATGGACCACCACCACCACCACCACCATCATCCAAAAAGCAACACAACTGGAACCCCCCCCCCATCCCCCATATTTGGCTTCATCTTTTTTCCATTTCTTTTACTCAAAGGACTTCCGCCATATGGCCAGAGTTGGTAAAAGTATAATTTATCAAGCACAGGATTTAGCATTTCAGAAAATAGACTTATCAGGCAGACAATATCTCTTAAAGAGTACATATTTTTCGAGGGATAGGTAAAAAGCAAGCAGAGTCCATTAATTATATATATATACATTTATTTAATATTGGCATAATTTTCTAATTCTTGGTTTTCCAAATGGCTCTCTAAGAAATTATGTAAATTTCTCACTACTCCACCGGCAAGTTTCTATTTACTTTTTTATTGATATTTTGGTTTTGCACATATTTCTATCTTTAATTTATAATAAATATACAGTCGTTAAATGTTACAGAATGTCAAAAACCATGCACAAAACTCGCTCAGGATTTCTAAAAGGATTTTAATCGAATCCGATCTGAGCCTAAGGACTCACACATCCTTTTAAACAATTATAATAGAGACTTGGGAAACAACAAAGGAAAAATGCGAAATGATTTCTTTCTATTGACTTCGATTTCCAGGAGCTACATTCGCCAGCACCACCTCGGTGACGGCCTTCAGGGCTGCGGGAGCAGCAGGTGCAACTGGTGGCGGAGGAACTCCAGCCACCGGTGAGTCTGGGGGACTGTGAAAGAAATACAGCAGAAATCCGGCTGCTAGCACAATATGTGCAATCAGTATTCCGATTATGAGGAATAGCGAGAACTGCGAATTTCGCAGGGCTGGCGTTAAAACTGCAATTAAAACAGTTCCCGAGAGTAAGGCAGCGGTGATCACCAGAAGCCACTGCAGCACTGATATCTGTAAAGGGTTTCATTATTTATGCATTATTACATATTAGGTAAATGTCCAGCAAATCTGTGTTTATAGATAGAATCCTTACATTGATCACCCACAGAATAGAAACGGGAATGTAGATAGCCAGACTGTAGCCGTAGATGCACATCAGTGACAGGAGTGTCGGCGTGTAGCTGGCCTGCAATGAGACGCGAATGTGAGCGAGATGACAAATACAGCACACGAAGCAGGACGAATACTTACGCTATCCGTTTCCACGGCATCCGCAGAGTCCACCGGCTTAAGGCTGTACTTAAATAGGGCCCAGAGGACGGCCGGCAATATGTTGGCGTACAGGAAAATGCAAGTGGCCGCATAGGAGACCAGGTGGAAGTTGTAGTGCCAATGATAACCATCGCTGGCATGATGCAAGTAGCTGGCTATGTTGCCGCTAATGGCTATGGAGAAGATCTGCAAAAGGAAATGGAAAATGTAAAAAAAAGATATTCAAGGCACACTTAAACATCTTGATAAGTGTATAAAACATTTCTTTTTCAGCTTCCTAGATTAGTTTCTCTGTTAAAATTAACAACTGAATAGGGAAAAACTTATCCAAAGTTGGTGCGAAACTTCAAAAAATCTTAATCACCAACTGGCAAGACGTATGTTAATTGAGAAAAACGGCTTGACTACAAACCAGGGTGACGGTGATCCAGAACGGACCGTACAGATCCGGATTCTCCCCGATGTTCATGCGCAAGTAATTGCCTGCCGCGCGCTTTGGTATCATTGAGTTGACGATGCGCTCTAGAACCATGTAGGTGTCCACGTTGAAGAACTGCTGGTAGTACTCAATGGTGAGGAAGGAGAGTCGTGCGCCGCCAACACCACCACCGCCGGATCCGTCCAGCGAGGCGTTTTGCGCTTGGTTAGAGCTACCGCCGGCCATGTTCTGGGCAGAGGTGCTCATGTCATAGATGAGATCCGCCAGCGGATCGCCGCGCTGACGTTGAGCATTGGTCCCACCAGATCCGGAGCCAAACCCAGATCCGCCGCCCGTTGCATGAGTCGGCGAATTGACGTTGATCTGGGCTGGGGCTCCGCCGCTATAGTCGCGGAATTGGAGTAGGTCGTCGGCCGTAGGGGTCTCCATTTGGATTTGACTTCGTTTTAACGGTTTTCGTATTCACTGCTCCTTTTTGCTTTAATTAAGGTAAATATTCCACGTACTTTTGTCCAGAGGTGTGGCCGAGCCGATGTCGATAAGAAATACCACAAGGCCTAGTAATAAATACCAATATATACAATTTCAGTGTGCAAAAATACCAACCATAGGCCAAAAATTTACCAACTCAACAGATCCAATTGGATAACAGATGATTGGGCCACGAGAAGTAAACAAACCGCATCGGAAGATATTTAACCATTTTAAATGGTAAGCTAAAATTGAAATTCAACAAGAAAGAAGTTTTAAATAATTAGAATGCTTTCATGTAAATGATACAAATGTCCTAGACAGCAAGCAATTCTACCATTTCATTGAATACTTTGTTGTGTGACCAGAGTTGGGATATATCGATGTGCCTCCACCTCTATCACATGGTCAAGCTTTTCGATCATTTTGGGCGCACACTAGTTGGTCACACGGCATGTTACATCATGTGCAACCAAAATAACTAAATTGTATTATAAATTTGCCGCAATAAAAGCTTTTCTAGCGCCCCAGCATCTGGACTCCATCGGCCCGAGCGGTGGCAATGTACTTGCATTCTAAGGTTGAGCAAAGCTATCCAAGCATCTGCATCTAAGCCGGGCGCGCCGAAGACGTACCAAGTAAACGAAACACGCAGGCAGCGCATCAATAAATACAAATAAGAAATCTAGCAAATAAAACAATAAACGCGCGATGAGCGAGAGCAGTAACAATCAGGTTAGTTGATGAAGGGCGCGAGAGGGAGAGGGAGCGAAAGCATAATCATTATCAATTTGACAAGTTAAGCATACAATTGCCAAAAAAAAATAAATAAAACCTCTGCTTAGATTATTTTCGCCTGTTTTTGTGCACTTGTATTTGTTGCAGCGCAATTTTTTCTCGTATTTGTGTGTGTGCAATTTGCGCTGCGGTATTTTCCTTTTTTGCCATATATACTTATGTACACCTGTATGCATATTATTCCATCATTCCATTTTCCTTCCACATTCCCATACACTTCATATTTCTTTTTTCGCCTTTAGTATAATTTTTGTATTCCGTTTGTTTTTCATTTCAGTTTTGTGACGTTGATTTTTGAGCAAGCCCCAAAAAAAAAAATATAAAAAACAAACAAAAAGTCCCGAGCACATTCAGAAAGAAGCAGGAGCACGCCACACAGAGTATTTTTCATTAATTTTGAGTTCAGTGCGGTCAGCCTATTTTTGTGTTTCTCCGGACACAGACGTGCAGTGCGTTCCTTGGAGTTCCAGGAGCGGGAGCTGGTGGAGTCCCAGCAAAATTGTATCCATTGGCTGCATACCTTTTGTTTTGTATCGCAATTCTCTTTTATTCTTAAATCCAAACAACGCAATCGAATCCCAATTTGGACATCGAAATGGCGGCATACTTGAACCGCACTATCTCGCTGGTCACCGGGCAAACGGGCCCCACCGCCGACGATGACGACCGTCACTCCTCGTCCACGGACACATCGCTGACAACAACGGGCTCAATGACGCCGGCTCCAAACTTCTTGCCGGAAACGCGGCTCTATCAATCCAATGACAAATCACCCCTCCAGATCTTTGTGCGGGCCAAGAAGAAGATCAATGATATATACGGCGAGATCGAGGAGTATGTCCTGGAGACGACCACATTTATCAATGGTGAGTATAACACTTTAATAAAGGATATATTTTATATGTATCCTTTGAATTGGGTTACGCCCTGCTTTTGACATTTCTCTTTTTGAATTTTCTCTGCTGAAAGTTGGAAAAAGTTAAAATTACATATTTATTTCGCCACAACCTTTTTTCATTACAACTTCAGTAACTGTCGAAGAAATTTAAAGAAAATGCAAGAACCCGTAGTCCTTATGAAATTCTTGACATAATCTACTTTTTTTTAGCTTTGCATGCGGAGGCAGAGATTGTGGACAAGGCTGAAAGGGAACTCTTCGAGAGCTATGTGTACAAGGTGGCCGCTATTCGCGAAGTCCTGCAGCGGGATCACATGAAGGTCGCCTTCTTTGGACGCACCTCCAACGGCAAGAGCTCAGTGATTAATGCCATGCTGCGTGAGAAGATCCTTCCCAGCGGTATAGGACACACAACAAATTGCTTTTGCCAGGTTGAAGGCAGCAATGGGGGCGAGGCCTACCTCATGAAGGAAGGATCCGACGAGAAGCTCAATGTGGTGGTATGTCCAGTCCTGTTTACAACCATTATTATATTTAATATCCCTCTTTTCCTCCTTTACTGGCAGAATATCAAACAATTGGCGAATGCCCTATGCCAGGAGAAGCTATGCGAGAGCAGCTTAGTTCGCATCTTTTGGCCCCGGGAACGCTGCAGCCTGCTGCGTGATGATGTCGTCTTTGTGGACTCACCTGGCGTGGATGTATCGGCCAATTTAGACGATTGGATTGATAATCATTGCCTGAATGCCGATGTCTTTGTTCTGGTGCTGAATGCGGAATCCACAATGACGCGAGCGGAGAAGCAATTCTTTCACACCGTCTCTCAAAAGCTTAGCAAGCCGAATATTTTCATTTTGAACAATCGCTGGGATGCGTCGGCCAATGAGCCAGAGTGCCAAGAGTCGGTAAGGTCTTATCTTGTTACAAGTAGTCTCTCCAAAAGATTAGTTTCCTGGGTCAATTCTCGACCTATCTATGCCCGTTGTTGTCTCTCTTGTTGTTGATGTGTGTCTTTTACTTTCGTTTACCAACCAACCAACCAACAAACTATCCACTGTACTATCAACGCCAGGAACTGGCTAAGGTAATGAATGATGAGCTAGACCCCGTAAAATCCGATCTCCTTGCTTGCTTGCTTCCTACCCGAGAGAAAGACAAACCCATTCCGCTTCTAATTCTGTTACTTTTAACCTCGGCTCTAGCCGATGGATTGATTGTTATTCCCCGAATTTGTTCATAAAGTTCATGCTTTGTTTCATCATCCATCTTTAGGTTAAATCCCAGCACACCGAACGCTGCATCGACTTCCTCACCAAGGAGCTGAAGGTGAGCAACGAAAAAGAGGCGACCGAGCGCGTATTCTTCGTTTCCGCCCGCGAAACACTGCAGGCACGCATTGAGGAGGCAAAGGGCAATCCGCCACATATGGGCGCCATTGCCGAGGGCTTCCAGATGCGCTACTTTGAGTTCCAGGACTTTGAGCGCAAGTTCGAGGAGTGCATCTCTCAGAGTGCCGTTAAGACCAAGTTCCAGCAGCACAGTTCGCGCGGCAAGAGCGTGTCGGGTGATATGCGCTCCATGTTGGATAATATCTATGAACGTATCACGATATTCCGCAACCTGAAGCAAGACCAAAAGAACATGCTCACGGAACGTATCCAGGGAACAGAGACCCAAATGATGCAGGTCACACGCGAAATGAAAATGAAGATCCACAATATGGTCGAGGAGGTGGAGGAGAAGGTGTCAAAGGCTCTAAACGAGGAGATCTGGCGACTGGGCGTCCTCATCGATGAGTTCAATATGCCCTTCCATCCGGAACGCCTTGTGCTCAATATCTACAAGAAGGAATTGAATGCCCATGTGGAGAGCGGGCTGGGCAGCAATCTGCGTGCTCGCCTCTCCATGGCCCTGGCCATGAACGTGGAGTCGGCCCAAACAGAGATGACCGACCGCATGCATGCGCTGGTGCCCAACGAACAGCTGCTGGCCACCAGCACCAAAATGGTGGTGCGCACTCAGCCCTTCGAGATGCTCTACTCGCTGAACTGTCAGAATTTGTGTGCAGACTTTCAGGAGGATCTCGAGTTCAAGTTCAGTTGGGGCATTGCTGCCATGATTCAGCGTTTCACCGGCAAGGTGCGCGAGCGCAGCAAGAAGAACCAGCCGGCCTTGGTCAATCGTCAGAGCAGTATTGGGGTAAGTTAATGTTAAAGAAGATGATCCACTGTCACTAAACTCTTGTGCCGTTTCGCCCCAGCAGCACAGCGTTGTGACGCCCGCCAGCACGCCCGTGGAGGCGACAACTCCTGTGTGCCTCTTGCCCGGTCCAAGTGTGGCTGGAATAACACCCGAGCAGCTATCGGTGATCTCACGGTTTGCCATGACCTCCATCGGATCGCAGGGCACCGTTGGCGGTCTTGTGGTTGCTGGCATCGTAAGTAACTCGCTCTTTGTCAGTTTTGTCCCCTTTGCCCATGAATGCTCAAGCAGGTGCTATTGAATCAATATCGGATGAAAAAATGCCCTTTCCAGATGCTGAAAACCATAGGTTGGCGTGTCCTGGTCGGTGTAGGTGCCCTCTACGGCTGCATCTATTTGTACGAACGACTCTCGTGGACGAATTCAGCTAAGGAGCGGACCTTTAAGAGCCAATACGTGCGGCATGCCACCAAGAAGCTCAAGATGATTGTCGATCTTACCTCGGCAAATTGCAGTCATCAAGTGCAGCAGTGAGTAATTGTTACCAGGTTCATTAAGATTATATTTCATATGCAATCATTTCCCAGGGAACTGTCAAGCACCTTTGCCCGCTTGTGCCGCACCGTTGATACCGCCACCACGGACATGAACGAGGAGCTAAAGACTCTGGAGTCGCAGCTCAATGTCCTTGAGGGCAATCAGAAGCAGCTTAAGCTGCTGCGCAACAAGGCCAACTACATACAGAACGAGCTGGACATATTCGAGCACAACTATATCTCGCCGCAATAAGAATGGATCCTAGAAAGAGATTATGTAGACGAAAAGTATGTGGTTGGACTGTGGGTTCCTCTGATCAGAAGCTTTTAAAAGAGGGGAAATCCACGCCTCTTACGGCAACGACAACAATTGTATCCGGTTTATTTTCTCGCACTATTTTGTTTTTTTTTTTTTCTCTCTTGTATAAATGCATGATCCGACCAATCGATTTGTACAATTTTTATATTATTTTTTATAGAAACAAATTGTTGAGAATTGCCAAATTTTGTGAGATTCCCAACGCTTATGCAAACAGAAACAAAATTCTAGAGTAGTAATTATTGTAATTTTTTTAGCTCTTGAATTGTTGTTGTTGTAATATACATATATGTACTAATAACCAATGTCCGGATGCCATGACATGGCCATGGAAATCCTAATTGAATTGAACTATAAAGTCACCATGCCTCCTCCTCATATAACGAATGCAAATTCAAATTGATTTACCTTCTAAAAGAAAGTTCTTGTAATTATACAATAATTTTGTTTTTCTCCCAATCGGATATTAGAATAATGAAATGACGAAACCGCTATATAGACACACACACACACACACATCATATATAGATATATACTATCATCATTACGATGGGGGGCTTGTGTGTGTGTATTATTTGTTAATGGATGATTCATGAACGAAAACGAAATAAAATAAATGATATTTATGTAAGAAAGTGTTGTTTAATTTTTAAATTTTAAGTGAGTAAAAACTGAAGAGGAACCAACTAGGGTATACATACTATGTTCTCCCAGGCTATATATAAACTACTTTAATACATATAATATAAATCAAGAAAGGAAACTATCTTCGGAATGCGCAAATTTATATAACCATGCCGTTTCCAATTGAATTATAGGATCGAATCTGAAATCGATCATAAGTAAGCTTAACATATTCCCAATTTTGAAAAAATTATCAAAGTTTAAAAATCTCATAACTAAACCAAAACATTATTTTTAAATTGGGAAGCTTTCCAACGTAAGTTTTTATAAGGTTAAAAATCTGCAGACTCAATTTAAAATGTAAAAAAAATAATTTAATTTTATGAGTTTTTCAATATTTTACAAATTTTTATGTTTTATAACATTTTGGAAGAAATTTTTAAAAAAATTTTTCTACCAGAGATAGCTAGATCGACTTGGCTGTTGATGCTAATCAAGAATATATAGGATTTATAGGGTCGGAAATTACTGCTTCACAGCGTTTTAAGCGTTAGAATAAAATAAAAATACTATTCTTTGAGACGATAGTTATTAATTTTTTAATATAACAATTTGTTCAACAAATCAAGGTTTAAAATTCCCATAACTAAGCCAAAAAAGCATTAAGTTTAAATCGGAAAGCTTTCCTACGTTAGTTTTAATAAGGTTAAAAAACCTACAAACTCAATTTAAAATTTAAAAAAAATTAAATTTTTTTAATATTTGAATGATGTAACTAACCCTTATAAAATTTTGGAAAAAAATTATACAATTTTTTTCTTCCGCAGATGGCTAGATCGACTCGTCTGTTGATGCTGATCAAGAATATATATGGATGATAGGGTCGGAAAAGACTACTTCACATCGTTTTATGCTTTTGACTAAAATTATAAAATTATAAATTTGAAATTTTTATAAATAGTTCAATATTTTAACCATGTAACCCTTTATAAAATTTGGAAAAAATTTATACATTTTTTTTCTACCGGAGATGGCTAGATCGACTCGGCTGTTGATGCTGGTCAAGAATATGTATGATTTATAGGGTCGGAAATGACTACTTCACAACGTTTTAAGCTTCTGACTTAAATTAAATAAAAATAGAGCATATATTTAAATAGACATTTTGATAAATGTTTTTTATTATTATTTTTTCAACTTATGCAATATTCAGAAACTAAAATGTATTTAAAAATAAATTCAAACAGTTTGTAACATAATATAAGGCAAACATAAAACAAGAAAATCGTTTGGTTTTGATTAATTATAACCTTTTTGAGCTTACTTCTGCAATTAAAACCGCTCATTTCAGTTGGAAATAATCGATTTATTTAAGGATTATCTATGGAGTTCTACGGGACTTTTGTCTAAGGTCCCCCGTCCCGCATTAAACTTAATCGAGCTGCACCAGAAACCAGGTCTGCAACAAAATAGCCACTGCAGACGCTAATGTACAAACACACGAAAGCAATATCCACCGATATCGATCCAACCAGTCCCAGGCCCCCGAAATGTCAATCGTATCTGCAAACACATCGAGTAGTCCCTGAGCTAAGCGAGGAAACTGGCCTTCGGGGGAGCACTGCGCCGGACCGACTCTTGCTTAATCTTTGCTACATACTTTCTTATATAAATATTGTATAGTATATCTGTATAATTCCGTATATATATATATATTAAGATGTATATGTGTATATATCTATATAAACATGTATAATGGTAATGCAGGCTGCAGGCGCGGGGTGGGCATTAGAATTTATGTTGTAAACGTTCAGATTTGTACAAATTCATTCGTTTGTGAGTGTCCTTCGTGAGCTAGTACATAATGGCATATAGTATATATAGAAACATACTCGACTACCGTTAATCGCTAATCGCTATTCAAATATAATAATATCAAGTTAGAGATAGACGCTAGAGACGTGAGCACTCGCACAGTTTGAATCTTTGGCAAGACCGCAGATACTGATCACAAGAATCGTTTCGATTTAGACATATAGTTAGTCCGTAATGCTAGGCTACAACTATTTCGTACTTGCTCGAAAAAAATTTGGCTAATTGTGGAGCAGTGAATCGGGTACATTCATCATCATTATCCTCATCTACAACTTCAATAGGAATCCCTGTCGGTTAAGTACTCTAAGGTCTAAATTCGCTGTTTCCCCAAAAAACTCTCCAGCTCCTCCCCTCCACTTTCACGGCTCGATAGCTCCTTCGCCGGGATAGAGGTTCACAAGGATGGCATAGTAGTGGCATCCAGCTGCCAGCACCACAAACAGATGCCAAATGGCATGGGCCATCGGTATGAGGCCGTCCGCCTTAAAAAACACAATGCCCAGGATGTAGAAGCCACCGCCGAACTTTAGCTGCAGCATCCCGTGAAAGTGATGGCCCGTGAACACAACCACTAGCGCTGGGCCCAGGCCCATTACCAGATAGAAGAACGTCTCCAGGCACTTGTAGCGCTCGTGAAATATCTGTTAATGAAGGAATATATATCACTTCAAGCTTGCAATGTAAACATGATTTAAAACCCACTTGCTGGTAGGCAATCCCGACAGCCGCCATCAGCCAGATGACCCACTCCATGCAGAAGAGAATGGCCGAGTGGTCCGTGTTCTCCAGCGTTAGCCAGGGAAAGTAGGAGCCGGCAATGAAGACATAGATCATAGCCCTGTCGCATCGATGCAGCACATTCTTGAGTCCTTGGTACGTCTGCCAGCCCAGAGTGGGCCATTCCTTGACATTCCGCGGAGGTCTGCCCAGGACAAACAAAAACAAAAGAGAGTCAGATGGAGGCCAGAATGGTTGCACAGGTCACTTACTTGTGCTCGGCGCAGTAGCAGGAACAGTGAAAGAAGGTCGAAACGGTAAAGAGCATGCAAAGAGCACCGCCATAAACCCAGGACACTAGGTACTGGCTGGAGCTCGAGGAACGTTCAAACAGCTTAATGGCCGCAAAAACGGCCGGCAATATCCAAATCCCGTGAGTAATCACATTAGCCACCTGCTCAATCTAAAAAGAAAACACAACCTGTTCTAGTCTCGGGCGGAAGAGGAGGAGAAAGGGGACGACGGACAACTCACCTCGGTTGGCTGATAGGCACAGCCCGGCTTGGCCTTGGCATTCTTCCACTTGACATTCCTTAGGCGAAGCTTGAGATTGGAATTCGATTGAATGATCGACTTCCAGAACTTGCTAAACAGATTCTCCAGGAAGGCGTACTTGTTTTGAAGGTCCTGCATCAGGCTTAGCTCTCCGTTGTTGCGATTCCGGTTGCCAATCAACCGTTCATGCCCAAGTCCACTTCCGTGGACACTCCCGGTACTGGTGCTCATCGTAGACAGACTGTGGGATTAGATTGCTTAGCAAATTGGTTGTCCGACTCGCGTAAAATTGATTGATTACCCAGTCCACTGATCTAACCCATCCACCTACTGCCACGCCCACACACACGCCTGCTGTCTGCTTGCCCGCTTTATGGCTTTATGGCCAATTGATTATCATACGCCACCGCTGCCGCCACCGACGCGCGCTTATCTCCTACCGTGTGATAAGCCCTCCTTCTTTTCGACGCCAATGACTGTACAATGGACAATGGGGCCACTTCATCTATTCCTCAGCATTGAGCTAATTTATGTTTATTGAGAGAGCAAAGCCTGCATACTGCATACAATGTCCAAGGCAAGGTTGCCGGGTCTGCTTATCTCGTGTGTCTCGAACGTGACTCAAAGTCCAAGTCGGATGACCGGGCGGCGGGAGATATGCCTAGCCACCGTAGGCGTAGAAGGAATTTGATTAAACGGAGGCTCTTGAGGTTTGATTTCCATTTAAGGTTATCTAATCCCTGGCAGCTCTACACTTTTTTGTGACTTAGGTCCGCACATTAACCCTACACAGGTTTTCTAAAAAGCATATAGTGTTTTTTTTTAATTACCCAATCGTGTGCTCGAGTCTCAATGCGCTGACCATGAAGAGGTCACTGTGAACAATGCCACAACGATATCCTGCAGTTAATGAAGCAGAAGCTTGTTATACCCTGCTTGATAGCCTCTAATAGATTTATTATCATGGCTCGTCGGCCAGATTAAGTGAATATTTAACCCCGCACCAAAGTGGCGAGTAAGCACTGGGAAAACTTTGCTTCCAGTATTGAGTGATATGACAGCTTTTCAATACGTCCGTCCCGAGTCCGGACACATCCGGTGTGGGGTGGGTGGATGTCCCTGTGGCCGTCCTAAAAGTATGCTTCATTTCTCGCCATGGGGGAGCCCACTCTGGGTGGCGGTGGCGGTGTGGTGGAAAAAGCAAAAGCATAACATAACGGACGCCTCCGTGTAGCTTCATCATCACCATAACGACTATGCTAATCGTTATAAATAGATGCCTTGGGCATTCCTTATATATTGCCAATATCCAATCAGCGGGGGGCTGGTGGAGGGTACGCCGAAAAGAGATTATCTAAAGGAATCCATCATTGATTTTAGGTAGAATTTAACGGGAAATTTTTAAACAGTTATTGGAGCTGGGCTTCAATTTCAGCCTGGAAGTCAGCAATTTACATATTTTCAAGGAACTTTTCACTCTTTTTCATGAATGAAACTATAAACATTAATGATGCCTATGCAGTGCCTGTGAAACGGTCGAAGATTGTTTACATCTCGCATAGCTATAATCAATCGCTGTGCTAATCCAATTTGTTACCCTGTCGTCACGCAATTCAGCCATGCAAGCACCTGTCCAGTCCAATTGTCCACCTGTCCGTCTAATGACATTCCATACTCGCCCCGCCCCCGACCAGCGGAACTGAATTTCTGGAGGGAAACTCACCTGCCTTGGTGTTGCTGCTGCCGCTGATTAGAGGAGGCTGCTGGGCTCTGTTAGGTGGGATACGGGGGGATGCTGCAATCAGCAAAGTGTAATCTGCAGCCAAGGAGCCTCACGTGCGGATCGGGAGTCCCACGCAGGACACGCGCTGCTCCTTAAACCCACGGCGGATGCATCTGGCGCAGACGAGTGAGACGATGGCGGCGATATTCTGGTCCACTTTCTGATGGGGAAGGAGAAACAGTGTGGCCGTAGCACGACCGTTCAAATATACCATCGGCGCTAAACTGTCGCTTGGAACGTTCTTCCAAGTCGATAATTTCTCATTTTTTCAATACAACAATTTTACACTTCCCTCGGACCTTCCAAGAAGGAAAATTTATTAAACATTAACTAAACTCCCTGCCACTTGTTACACCCATCTTCTTCTTCACCAATTCTTACACTTTTGTAATTTTCCATTGAACTCCTCCGCTCACTATTGTATAAGTTGCTACACTACAGTAACGTACAATAATAAATTCAGCTCAAAAAAAAAACAAAAAAAAATAATAATAATTTCACAATTTGCTAAAGTATAAGTGAATACACTAGACTTCTTAGTTCAAAGTTTAATTTTCGACATCGTCGTTATCTTAACAGAGTGTGGCCCTGTTAGAGAAGCAAGATTTTCTAATTATTTCACTACGGTCACTTTAAAAATCAGGCTAGCTCGAATTCGCGGTTAATTTTGTTTATTTATTAGAAAAATCATGTCCGGAAGTAAGACCGTAGCCTTGGAGCGTCAACCCAACGCCAACACCCTTCTGCCGCCCAGCCGCGTGCGCACGATCATGAAGAGCTCAATGGATACTGGCCTGATCACCAACGAAGTCCTCTTCCTGATGACCAAGTGCACGGAGATGTTTGTGCAGCATTTGGCGCGAGAGGCGCATGCCAAGCATGGAGGCGGTGATACCCTCAAGTACGAGCAGCTGTCTCAGCTGGTGAACAAGGAGAAGAACCTGGAGTTTCTGCTTCAAATCGTGCCCGAGAAGATACGCGTCTACCAGTTCAAGGAGATGCTCCGCCTAAACCGCAGCCGCGACGGCGACGACGATGATGATGATGACGACTCTGGCTCGGGATCCGAGTCGGAGGAGTGACGGCTGCGCGTTCTAGCGACCACCTGTACTGATTCCACTTTTATCATAATTAAGTCAAGATAATAAGTTGCGTTTCCAAGATGTCCAAAAAAAAAAAGCTTTATGATACATTTCAAGGAACACGCAACATTACACGGTCTGTTTCCTAGATCTAACGTTTGCTTTTTAATATTAAAGAACTATTGTTCAAGTCGAGCTGTTGTACTTTAAATAGTTTAATTGCACTTGAATTCGAATGGTACATGTGAACAGAGTTTACGGCTTGTGGTTTAGACCCTCAGGTTGACACCAGGGTGGCCGGTGGCATTCAGGCCAGTCACCTTGTAGGTGGTGCCAGCAGGCGACGGCTGGTCGAACTTAGCGGCAGTGGTCACATACAGGATGTCCAAGTTGGGTCCTCCAAAGGCCGCCGATGTGATCTGCTTGGTGGGGAACTTGATTTCCAGCAGGACCTTGCCAGTGCTACAGGATATCAAAAGAGATGGAACATTAGAGGAGGGCTGGCTTGATAATAATGCTAAATAGAAACCTACCTCGGGTTCACCTTGAAGATGGTGGCACCATTGAAGGTGGCTACATACAGATTGCCCTCAATGTCGATGGTCAAACCGTCGGGCAGCAGATGGTCCTTGGGATTGTTCCTACGCAGGTTGAAGATCACCTTAGGATTGCTAGCGATGCCCGTGTCAAAGTCGTAGTCGTAGGACTTCACCTCGTAGTCGGTGGTATCGATATAGTAGAACTTCTTGGCCTTCTCGTCCCAGGCCAAACCATTGGAGATGCCCACGTCGCCCTTGATCACAGAGGTCTGGCCGCCGGCCTCCCAACGGTACAGCTCGCCGTGGCGGAACTCGAACTCGTCACCAATGTAGCGCATGGTGCCGCCAAAGAAGCGGCCACGAGGATCGGCCTTGGCGTCGTTCAGCCGGTTCTTGTCCATCAGTGGCTGAACCTCGAACAGTGTGCGCACCACCTTGGCGGTGGGCGAAACTCCGTCCCAGTTGACGATCACCACACGGCGGCCGCAACCCACAGCGAACTCCTGTGGACGTCCCTCCACAGGCAAAACGAATCCGGCTAGGGTCTCGCCCTCGATCTTCGTCTTGTAGGTCTTGTTCTGCTTATAGTCGTAGCGCATTAGGCTGCCAGCCTCCAAGTCCACAAAGTAGAGGCTCTGGCGGGCCACATCCCAGTGAGGACCCTCGCCCAGGCCAGCGTAGGAATCGGGCAGAGGTTCAATCTTGTAGGACATCTGTAAGATAAAAGTAAATTTTGTTATATCGGGAGTTTAAAATTCAATTCATTCATTTTATTTTTGCTTTAATTCCCAGTTCCTGCAATCCTTTGTTTTCTTTTCGTTCTGCATTTGCGTTTTTTCTTATTGCTTCTTCTCCTAATTCTTCACTACCGTGAGTCCCAAGAAAAACGTCATAGCCACGATTATCTGGAAACTGGAAGACTGGAACTGGAACATTGTGCGTGCGGCTGCCTCTGACTTCTTGGGATTTCGACTTTAAACTGAGACTAAAACCGTCGGCGGGAGAGGCTTTTATTATGTGTGCTTTACCTCCAAATCCGAGGGGCCTGACATTAACGGAGAGACAAGCTCAGCATCTCAGCAGGCAGGCGGAACACATTACCATTTCCATGTATTTTTTTCCGCCGTTTTTTTTTCTTTTCTTTTTGTGCTCCCGCCACTGCAGCTGCGTTTTTGTGACGTCATGCCCTTCACTTACTCAGCAGCAGCAGCAAAAACAACAAGAACAACAGAGCAGAGAGATTCAGCCTCAGAAAGATGTCGCTGTGATTAACTTTACTTTGATTGCGCGCCTGTTAATAAGTATTATTTTTTGTTGTTACTGCTGCCACCACACACATTGTAATTGACTTTTGATGGCCGAAGCTCTGTGTTATTGAATTGGTTAAGTTTGAAGTGGCAACTGTTAAGTGGTAGTAGCAGTTTTTTTTTATTATCGGTCACAAGTAAATGACACAGTGCCATCTCAGGGGTTTTTTCTTATTTATTTATTTATTTTTTATAATTATAATCTATTTATAAATTTTTTTTTTGCCAATTAAAATTTGGAAAAGTTTTAAAATATTTTGAGGCAAACCGCTCACTAAATGCTTGAAAATCTCTGCGATAACGAGAAACCAAGCTTATAATGTTTTATATTACAACAAATTAGTGCTATTTCAAATATTAACTATCAATTCATATATTCTTAAAAATACTTTGCAAGACTTCAAAATGAATATTAAATTAACTATTAAGCATTTATTTCCAGTTCACTTGGGCACTCAAAAAAAAGAAACAAAAACTATACAAAAAATATAAAGGATTCCCAGATCCCAAAGGACCTTCAGCAGGACATACCTTAGTAGGAGTATTTATTTAGCGTGGATAGAGGAGAAAATGAATCCTTGGACACGGGCTTCGCCGGGTAACGCGTTCAAACTGAAGTTCCTCCGATCGGCCAGAAATCTTTATATACCCCAGCCGGTACCGGCGTGACAAACAATCTCGCACAGACCTAATCCCTCCCTTCCCCTTAACACCCTGCCCGGTCCGGGGTTCGCGTTTCTGCCCCTGATAAGCGGCCAATTGGGAGGGCTGGATAACCCTGCCTGATAACACAGAAGCCGTCGGGCTGGTATGCCAGGCAACAGGCAAATTAACCCGCCGACAACTGTCAAGACTTCATATTCAATCAATCCAAATCCAAAAAAGGGATAAAAGGTCAAACTGTATTAGCTAATGACAAAAAATATAGGGTCGGAAATGACTTCTTCACTGCTTTGAAAGCATTAGACTCAAATGGTAATACCCTGCAGGGGGATAAGAAGACAACATTTTGATAATCAAAATTGCTGTTATTAATTAGTATTTAACAAAAAATAATACGATACATGATGTATCTCTACACTTATAGGGTTAAGTTATAAAGCTGTTTAAAAAACTGCTGAACATTATACTTTTATATATTATGTATGCAATAAGTTGCACTGCTGTTTTGGAGCTTTCCTAAGAGTAGACTTGTGTGGGCAAAACAGACCGATAAAAGCCGTTTTAAGCCTCTGTTTATTTTATAATCAATTGGTTTTTTTTTTTTAGCGAATTTCTATGCTTCCGCTGAACGGATGATAAAGTGCAGCGCGGGTGGCGATAAATGGCACTGCCTGGTATATAAAAGGATGCCCATGGTGGCATGGTATCAACTTCTCACTCCAACCAAGCTTTATTAATGGCTAAAGCCACGGGAAAAATGGAAAAGGATGCGATTGGACCATGACTGGGTCCGAATCTAAGAGACTCCTTATCGGCAGACAGAAGACAGATGTCACCCGGTTGACCCCTGACTGGTACATTCTATTTCCATCTGAGCTTTAAATTTAAATTGCTCTTTAATTAATTGCTGCAAGATTTATGGGCATATTTGTTAGTTCGCTTGATAAGGGTAATCCCATAATCTCCAGCTTTTTACAATCCAAATTCGATGTGTGAAATCTGAGTGCTATAGAATATTTCCCATATAATTGAGATATTAGTGAAATTTATACATATGATTTACAAGGAGATAAACACATACATACATGGAAGAATTTTATTACCGTTAGAAGACAGGAAAGACAGAAGCGGCTTGTTGTTTTTGGGGCGGTTTCTTATTTACCCTTTGCATGGCTTTTACCTTTTGTGTTATTGCCCCCGTTCTATGTCAAGGCCAAGCCAATTGCGCAAATTGGCCAAAGATGCTGCGTTGATTCTTGCGGTTTCTTACTTACGATTAGTAACCAGCTGACTGCGCAATTAGTGTAGTTAAATTAAGAGAAATAAATAATTAAGCAAAACGGCGAACAAAAATAAGAGAAACGAAAGAACAGTAATTCTCTGCGTGGGTACCGCTCTTTTTATTTTTTAGGGCTGCCAACCCATTAGTTTTGTGTGTACTGACAGGGATGCCAACCTTTTTTGACATGTTCTGATTATTTTCCGTTTCTCATTTTATATAAATGTTATATTTTGTCAAGATGCGCAGATCCAGAGGTTAAAACTTCATATATATTTAAGTTTGTTTAAAATCGCAGCAAATGAGAAGCAAACCAAACCCAATTCCTTTGGTATTCTGTTTCTCGTGATTTTCGTTCGATAGTTGGAAAATTCTACATAATTAGTATAGTACAATCGATGGTAAACTTACTGACACAGAATAGATTACCAAATTAAAATTAATTGTTTTTGGATATGTGATTACCAAAAGTGTCTTTTAATTCGATTTCCATTAATCTACAAATGAATTACTAATAAAATATTAAAATATTTTTTTTAATGCACCAAAATTTTTTAGATTACAAAAAAAGGATTGCTATTACATACCATGTATTTCGGCGTTCCGTTAAATCGTTTTCAATAAAACTTATTCGCAAGTTGAAAAAACTTGATTTCGGAAAATATGCAAAAATATACTATTGCAGGATCACATCTTTTCAGTGCTGAAAATTTGTAATGACACCGAATTACGAAAAATCCTCTAAAACAATCACAAAACACCGATTTAAAAGTTTGGAGATAGGTTTCTAAAGCAACAATTTTAAAGTTTTAAACAATATTCCCCAAAACTTAATATATAATTAAAATAAACATAAAATCTAAGCGACAGTTTTTGTGTTCCCTCTTTCTTTTCGTAGGTATTTTGTATCAACCAGGTTACGGTCATACTTTCTGTATTTTATCCTGTACCAAAAACAGCTTCTTTCAATAATGTCAGTGATGAGCCCTCGAGAGAGCTGAAAAGCTAGACTCTGAGAAAAAAGGCTAAAAACTAGCAATACAAAAACTACGACACGCTGAAGTTTGTATACCCTTGCAGTTCACAATTGGATCATTAAGACTTGATATATTTTGATAAATTAAAACAAGAATTATCATAAATTATATTATATAATTTATACTTTTATACATTTCATAAAAATCCGTTTTTCACATTCGCCATACATATTACTTTGAAAGTTTTATTTTAGGAGTTTTGAATTTTTCTCTACATTTGTTTTGCAGCTTAATAACATAATCATAATTATAATCCGATATGCATAGTCCGGTATGCATAAAATTAAAACCTAAATTCTAAAATAATAAAAAAGCCAGATTTCAAAATATTTGAAAATAATTTAAAAACCGAAAGAATTATAATTTTTTCTTTTAATTTTCCCATTGTTCCGATGGTAGATGATATCGTCCGATTTTAATATAATTAGAACCGATATACTAAACAAATAAAAATTTTTCCATACATTAGAGTAGAATAAAATATGACTGGCAAATTTTACAATATATTTTCTTTAGATTTTCCGATCTTTTTTATTGCACATATATGATATAGTCGTCAGATCCGGCCCGTTCCGAATTTTGTTCCTGTAAAATACATATATATTAGACCATATGCAAATTTTATAGAGATAGCTTCAAAACTGAAACGGACGGACTAACGAAATTGTCTAGATCAACTGGGATGTTTATACTGATCAAGAATTGAATGAATACATATATATACAAATATTGCTGCAAAACAACCCGAGGATTTCTTATGTCCCATTGGCATTGTAGTCGATATTTTCAGCTGCATCGCAGTCGCTGCATAGCTGAAAATATCAAAAGAGAAATATGTATGGGAACAGTTGTTTTCAGCTGCCTATATTTTTAGTGACTCGGTCAAACATGGAATAAAATAAGTAAACATTAGTTATTTTTAAGGCTATAAACCAGTTGCAAATATCATAAATTAGCTCCCGCTTTAAAAATAGCTAGATCTAACCTGAAATAAGACAAGTTGACAACACTGGTAAACGGGTCACACTGATTGCGATTCTCTTTCGTTGCTTCTTCGTTCAAAATTCGCCGACTAGCGAACAACGCGTCGCTCCGCATCGCTTTTTTTTCTTGTGCGCTTTCTTGTTCTGCCCGCTGCAAAACAAAACGAAATCGAAACCGAAACCAAAAACAACGGGACCGTTGAGTGACGCTCGGCTCAGGATCGTTCCAGGAGCGAGTGAAACGGAACGCTTGTTCCGATGTGCGAAAACTGGGTGATGAGTGTGACGGCGGTGGCGTCGACGGTAACGGCAATGGCGACGGCGACGTAGAGTCGATTGCGAACGGACGCAGACCGAAACAAAAGTGAAAACGTGCAAAAATACAAATACAACTGCGGCAAAATGTGCGACGCTGTGGCAACGGCGTCGGAGACGGCGACCACAGCGCTGCTGGGAGGAGCTAGTGGAGTGACGGCGTCTGGGGCTGGAGCAGCCATAATCACATCCACATCCCAGCCAGAAGCCTCAGCTTCGGCAACCGTTACACCAACCACGACAATGACGACGACGCCGCTGGTGGCGAAGAGTGAGCGGGCGGCGCGACAAAACTGCTGTCGCTTGTGCATCGCTCCGGCCAGCGAGTGCATCTCGATCATCAACAGCTATGCGGCGGACAAGGAGCCGCTGTCCACCAAGATCCACAACTGCGTCAGCATCAAGGTGAGTGAGTTAAGAAACCGGAGCATACACGTAATCTGGCTGTCGTCATCCGCTCTCTCGTCGGTGGCGGCGGCTCTCTGGTGTGGCATTGGCGTGGTGTGGTGCGGTTGGTTGGTGTCCAACCCCAATAGATATACACACTAGAAGAGGCCAGGCCAGCCCAGCCAGCCAGCCGGACAGAAGATAGCGGTGGAGGTGGAATGGAGGAAGAGGATGAGGCAGTGGCCACACCCGATGCTTGTGGTTGTAGGTTTGTCGCTTGGGATCTCGCTGCTGGACACGAAAAGTGAGGTTACGGATGAAGCCACCACAAGGCAGGCAGCCAGCCAGGCCAGATTGTGCAAGCGGCGACGACGGTGATGATGGCCACCGAAAGCGAAAAAAACCAGCCCGCCCCGCCTCCTCTTCATCCTCTTTCTCCTCCTCCTCTGCTGCTTCTATGGCTCTCAGCTTCGTTCGCTTCGTGCATGTGTCTGTATGCGAGTGGTTCGCCGCATGGTCTGTTTTTGGGTTTGGTTCCCAGTTTCCACTGCCAAGTCACGATGCAGAGAGCGAGAGGGAATCGTGGAGGCAGAGCCAGTGGCAGAGGGCAGCGTTGGTATGGGTGTAATCCAATCACGACCACAATCTTTGCTTTTGTTGGGCTCATAATCAAACTTGAACTCCGTTCTCCGTTCTGCATCTCCTCCGTTCTCCGTTTTCCATGCTTCGCTCCTCCTTCTCTTCCCATGGCTATTCCAGCGCCATTTTGAGGTTAGAACTGATCCTGCTTCCTTTCCAAAAATATGCTCCTCCACCTCTATTGCTCCTCCAAGCGGAGTGGAGTGGAACAAAAGAGACAGCAGACGGACAAGAGACGAATGGCCAGCAAAAAGCGTAAAGTACGATGAGCGCGCCGCCGTCGTCGTCGTCAGTCGCTTGTATGTGTGCAAACTGTGCGATATATACGGCCGTGTATGTGTGTGTTTGTGTGTGTTTGGGTGCCTGGACAGGCACAAGCAGGCACAGCCACTGTCTGAGATTCCAGGCCAGAAAACCCAAAGGCCGAAACCCAAAACCAGACCACGACGACGTCGACGGCAACGATGACGACCCGCAACCCAGGCAATTACATATAATTTCGCCGCCGTGCCTTTCCATGGAATTTCGCTTGGAGGGCAGCACCAGCAGCTGCCTCTGGGTTTTGGTTTCGGTTTCTGGACTTGCCCTCTGCTCCGTTTCATATCTGCTTTGCTCAGTGACCCAGCTCAGCTCTCCTCTCTCTCTTGCTCTCTTTGCGCGCGCGCGTCCTTTGGAGGAAGTGGTGCTGCAGCAGGAGCAGAAGCAGGAAAGGGAGCTGGAGCGGGAGCGGGTGCGGGAACAGCAGGAGGACATGGACTCTTCCTCATGCGGCTTCGCTAGCTTCGTTTATTGATTCTTTCAAGGGCTGTACACAAAATGGACGCCCGCTGCTCTGGGTTGGCTTTGTTTCTATCACTTTCTTTTTATTTTTCATGTTGGTCTCTGAGCCCCCGGCATCCAACATCCAACATCCCACATCGTATATCCCATTGCCCATTGTCCAGTGCCCGTTGCCCAGGGCCTCATATCCGCCAGTTGCCCGTCGCCATAGTCGCCAGCTCACAGCACGCTGCTTCTGCGTGTGCTCTGTTGCCCCCGATGGTCGTCTGGTCTGCTGGCTCGCTGGGTCTGCTGGTGCTCGGTTCTCGGTGCTCAGTGCTCAGTGCTCTGTTCTTTCCCTGGGCTCGATTTCATGGCAATTGCTTTGCACGCACACATACGGCCAGCCGCCGCACACACATACACTGGGCAGAGCGTATCTATACCCAACGGCGGCGACGACGACTACGACGACAACGACCGAGAGGCACTGGCACTGGCGCTGGCTCTGGCTCTGGCTCTGGTTGGCGTCATCGCTAGCTCGACTGCTTCTGCCGGCAAGGCGATGGCTATGGCGATGGCTTCTGGGGCCTCTGCTGCTTCTCTTACTCTGCCTCTTCCTCCGTTCTCGTTATCTGGAGGCGGACCACATGCTCGCACACGCATACACACAGAGCCACTTGGGTACGGGCACAGGCACGGGTACTCAGGCAGAGGCAACGCTTGGATAGCACATACACACACACAAGCGGATAGAGCTCAGTCAGACCGACTCACACACAAACACGGGAGCAGGCAGGCAAGACAAAGACGGCAGGCAGGCGAAAGAGGACGGGAAACGGGAATGGGAATGGGCCAGGGCCTGGGCCTGGGCCTGGGCCTGGGCATGGGAAGCGGGAAGGAAGGACTGAGGCCAGCGGGAACGGACGACAGACAGCGGGAACGGGAACGAGACCATGGTCGGGCACAAAATTCAAGTGGTTTCACCTTGGGCACCAGATTACCTGGCCTGGTCTGTTTGGATGTCGATATTGTTTCTACTTTGGCTTTAGCTTCTTCGGCATCTTCTTGTACATCATCTTCTTTTTCGCTTGTGCCATGGCCACGGCTGGGCTCCTCCTGCGACCCGCATCGAATTTCATCCACCGCCTCCAGTCTCGCGTCTCCATTTTGAGGCACTCTTGGGTCGGGCTTGGTCTCAGTCTCGGGTCCCCAGGTGGAAAACTTTCTCCCTTGGCTCTGGCCAAAAAGAGACGCCACGCGACGCGACGTGATGAGATGACAAGCTGATAAAAGGAACAAGCCGAGGGAAAAGGGGCAACGGGTAACGATGAATGGGAGAAGCGGCAGCAGAAGCATTCGCAGCACTTCCATTGCTCATCCAAGATGGCGGATGGATGTTGGAATAGAAACGCTTGGTTCGGAATGAAACGGATTTCGCAACTGGAGGGAACACATTTTATGGAATGGATATGTACATGTTTCTGGATTTCCTGGAATATAAATCCGAGTTTTGCTTGCCACTACCAAGCCAGGACATGACTATTCAAGCCCATACAATTCTTATATATTGGAAGAAATAATTATTCTAGGAAATAAGTTTATTCGTTTCCCAATTCACTTTACACTTAATCGATAACTGCGATCAGCGCTACGATAACAGCTGTTGCGAAGCCATAGGGTGGACCCTGTTGCACTTGTGTGTTGCTTATGCCTTGTTTTGCTTTCAACGAAATTCAATATTTCGAGTGGGAATCCAACTGCCCGCGACTGCTCGGTCGCTAGCTTGTTCATCATCATTCTCAAGATCTGCTCCGCTATACCAAATACGAGGGTTACTTTTCGGTTATTTCTACGTCTTCACTTTGTGCGTGGAATGTCCAGGACAGGATGCTCATGCTCTCTCTCGCACACTAACACACAGCCGGGCGCTTACACAGCATGGGCTTCGTACGAATAAGGACACAAAAGGAAAAGAGCAGAGCGAGAAAACTCGTTCCACGAAGGAGCAGAGGAGGCGGGGAGGCAGAGCAACGCCATGGGAATGGGAATGGGTCTGGTCCAGGCTGGTGATTATTGCACCTGGTGGCCAGCAGAAATGATGGTAGCAGCGGCGGCGGCAGCTGGTGGACTGCAGCATGGTGCAGCTGCTGTCTCCTCTTTCTCTCCCTCTCTCTTTCCCTTTATGTATTTACATACTTATGTACATATATTGATATATTTATATAACACAATATCTGGCCCTTTTGCGACTTTCTAAAATCTTGTCCTTTCGATGGGCAATTGTTGCGTAGTATTCTGTAATAATGTGGAAACCCAAAGCAAAGAGCGTCGTTTAATGGGGATACATTGGCGAAGGACATTAAAGTTCTGGCCGGTAAGAGTGGGAAATCCTTGCTCCTCCCGCTGCTTCTTGTCTTGCTCCATCTCCTCCAAATACCATACTTCATCCTCCAGCCGATGTGCCTGTATCCAGTTGCAGAACCGAATAAGGAAACATGGCGGCCATAAAGGAAGCGAGGTGTGGGCGAGGTGAATGAACAACATATCGGTATCGAAACGGAGTGGAGCGGAGCTCTGAAAGCCAAAATCCTCCAGTGGGAGTGTGAGTTGGCCCAAAAGGATTGAGCTTGGGGCGATTCGAGTTATTCGGCATATAAGGATGTTGGAGTATATAAGCTTCATAACCCGGAGGCGGGGATATATGTATGTACATCTACCTACATACATACATATATACAATTTATGTATATATGCGTGTGCTGAAAGGAGCCGGCAGCCGTCTTCAATGTCCGAAGTTTCAATTACAATAGCACAACAGTTTAAACAAATAGCAACATCTATTTGATTATTAAAATAAACGCACCATGCACACTCACACATACACGGGCATGCAGAACATAACTTGGTGTAAAGACAAAATGACGGAATGCAGAAACAAAACATTTTCACCGTTTGTTTTGATCATTTTCATTCGTGCTTCGATTGCTAATTCTCACAGTTGCTATCGATATTCAGCAAAGTGACTAAAGCTGTGCAGGGATGAGTACTTGGCGGATATATGGTCACAAATAGTTACGCTTTTTCTTTTTGAGAAAATCGCTTGTAAGAACTTAAAAATTCATATTTGCAATATTGAAACTGATGTCTTATTTTTCAGTAAAAAATTTATATTTAATTTTTATATATCATTTAACGTATACTTAAGATCCCAATTAGATTACTTTCCAGCTAAAGACTCCCACAAATTCAAAATCTATCCATTTTCCGCTTGCATTTAAAAACCCCATGGCATCACCGCCAATCCACTATTGCTGCTGCTCCGTCGATAAGCGATTACGATAGATGATATGCTTGGCTTTGGCGCTGCCGCTATCTTTGATAATTGCGATTTAAGTGATTTAAGTGCCCAGCCGGCGAAGATGTTTTGTGCTTGAACCCCAACCCCCACCTCAACCTCCGTATTTTGACAGAAACCGAACATAACCCGGCAAAATCGACCTATGTACCAGAAAATCAGGAGTACATAAGAAGGGTCCGCTTACATAGGCTGGCAATTCAAGCGATACACACAGTCGTAGAAGTACACAAACAAACATGCGCACACACTCTGTTATCAGGCAGCAGGACATTTCATATGATTTGCGCAGTCTTCTGTTTGATACAGCGGTGGTGGGGGGGGGAGCAAGGTGGATGTGAGGTGTGGGTGCCAGTGGGCGGCGTGGGATGCTGCAGCAGTTTTGCATATAATTATAAGCAGGTCATTGACACTAATAGGGTAGTTGGGAGTGGAGTTGCGGGACTACCTGCATTCTCCGCATCGTTGGACAAACACACACACACACACAACTATACAAATGCTTCACCAACTCCCCAATAGAATGTTTAGGCAAAAATCGACAGAGTGGGCAAAATCCGGGCTAAATTTGACTTCAAATGGAAAATATTGTGGCTTGTTTTTTGGTTTACCGGACACACCGGCAATATAATTTCCCATTTAATCATAAGCCATAGATTATTGAATTCAATTTATATTAATCCTTAACCCTTTTTGTTTTCTACCCCTTTAAATTTAGATCACATCACAGGATCGACTGTCGCTGCACATATGCCACGCCTGCATCAGCTACCTGAACTCGTGGCAGAGCTTCAAAAACCGCTGCCTCAGCTCACAGACAAAGCAGCGCCAGTGGCTGGACACCAGCAACAAAAGCAAGCTCTTCAACTATCTGGACCTGAACAGTGCCGAAAACGGTGGAGGCACCTCCGATCACCAACAGCAGCATTCGCAGCCGCATCAATCGCAATCGGAGAATGAGCTGGACGCGGAGAAGGCGACGGCAGCGGCCACAACGGCCGCCAACATATTGGATGGCATACCATCGCTGAAGAAACGCAAATCCCTAACAGTCTATGTGAGTCCTAAACCGCAGCAGCTGCCACAGCATCAATTGCAGCAGCTGCAGCCACCGGCAAGATTGACGGCAACGGCGACCGGCACCAACGCGCAGCAAACGTTGCAGACCCTTCTCCTGCAGGTGCCAGCATCGACGGCGAGCTCCTCATCTACTATCACCACCACATCCATATCCCAGCAGCGGGAGCAGCAGCAGCAGCGTCAGCAGTCGCATCAGTATCGCAGATACCATCACCATCATCATCACCAGCAGCAGCAACATACTCAGCAGCGGAGCAAGCAACTGATGCAACATCATCACCAGCAGCAGCAGCAACAACAGCAACACCGACGCCACCGTCAGTTTCGTCCTCAGAGGCCAACTGCGGTGCCTGTGCCGAATCCGGCTCCATCGTTGCGCAAATACAAGCCCAAAGTGTACTTGCCATTGGATATAGCAGTGCCTCCACTGCCACCGCTGCCATCAGTAACTCCGGGATCGATTGCTGCTTCTGCTCCTGCCCCTGCCCCAGCTCCTGCTGCCGTTCCTGCTGCTGAACAGCCGCTGCTTACGGGATTCTCCGGTTTAACTGGAATTTCTGGTGTGGGTGGTGGAATGGAGAGCTTGTCGTTGTCACTGCCACTTGATTTCAGCCAAAGCTGCAGCAGCGGTCACGTCCAACAGTCGGGTCTGTTGCCTATGGCCACGGCCACAGCTACGGCTACGGCTACCGCAACGTCCACGTCCAATCCTCCGGGCATCGCGTCAGCCACTGCCACTTTTGGCTCTGGCTCTGCATCTGCATCAGCATCCGTGTCCACGGCTCCGCTGCTCATGCCGGTGACGCTGCAGAGCGCCGCCCAGCAGCTGCGCTTTTTTAGACGCTACTCCTATAATGTAATTGTATCGTGCATTCGAAGCGTGAGCCTTCTCCTCCCTTCACCCTCCAGCGTCCTGATCATCAGTACCTGTTATCCCGAATTCAAAATTATCCGAAATGTGATAGTGTGTGTCCGTCTGGATTTCTGGTTCTTTGCCACTTTGTTTTGGAATAAACATAAATAGCTCTGGCTAACGGGTATCGATGGACGTTTGGCAGCGTCCATGTTTGTTTGCTCTTGATTTGTATATATATATATATGTATATTACCGAAACTCGCAACTCGGTTAGAATCCGACTAATCTTTGCCTGTGCGCAATGCTCTTTTCTTGGACTCCTTGCAGCCGCTGCCAGCGTTGCCCATCAAAGATGAGCCCATTGACACGGACGATGACTACCAGATGAAGATGATAGACGAGTCCGACGACATGGTCGATCCCACAATGTTCCTAGAGCGTTCCGAGCACGAGGGCGATATGCCGTTAATGGTAAGTATAAACAAGAAATGAACACAATATTTCTATACCCTTGCATTACAAATCGTATCATAACTTAGCCAAAAAAGCATTAATTTTCTAACGGAACACTGCTCTATGCTAGTTTTTTTAGGTTAACAAAACTGCATATAAAATTTAAAATATTTAAAAATTAAAATTTTCTTTGAAATTTTTGTAAATTTCACGATATAACCCCTTATAGAATTTAAAAATTTTGAGAAAAAAAAACTGTTGGCCGGACATGGCTAGATCGATTTGTTGATTCTGATTAAAAATATATATGATTTATATGGCCGCAAAAGAATTCTTCACTGCATTTTAAGCATTTTACTGAATTTATAACTCCCAGCAAGGGTATACAAATATTTAATTATTTCGTAAAGTCTTGTTTAAGTTCCATGCCTCCAAGAGCTTAATATATTCTAAAATCCACCATTTCTCTTCCCCCATTCGCAGGCCTCAGACTACGACTACACGGCCCAGCATGGCGTTAATGCTCATTCTCTGGCCGCCGGACTGCCACCGAATGCGGTTGCCAATGTGGCCGCCGCCGGGGATTCCAAAGTAGCCAGCTGCCGGGCCTGCAGCCTTCAGTTCTCCACCCGAGCCAATGCCCGTCGGCATGAGCGCAATCTACACCCGAACCTCTTCCAGCTGTCTACGGACTCGCTTCACAACACATCAGTTACGAAGCCAACACCAGCTCTGGCCGCCGCATTGGAAATCCAGCGGGCGGCAGCAGCAGCGGCCACTGCAGAGGCGAACCGTGCTGTGGGCGCTGCTGGTGGAAATATCACTCCACAGAAATACCGTCAGGTGGTGATGAATGCGTTTATCAAATGCGAAGGCGGTGGCTACGACTATGACAATCCGGAACAGTATCGTCCACTGCTCACCCACGACAAGGTGGAGTTCATCGAACAGAATGAGGAGTTCCTCGAGCAGTACCAGACTATGACCTGCCGCTGCTGCAGCAAGTACTTCAGCACGTACAAGAACTTCATGGCGCACGTGCGCAAGAAGTATCCGCTGCTGCCGCGCAATCTATGCTTTAACTGCCTGAAGATGAACGACTCTAAGGCGTTGTTCATCTCGCATCTCAAGAAACGCAACTGCATAAATCTCTACAGAGTTTTGAATACGCTGCGTGGCAAAACACCAGTGCTTCCCATTACCGCCACGGATGTGGATGTGGATGCAGCGACAGCGTCGGCTGAAGATGGAGCCACAGCTGTAGCTGTAGCGGTGGCAGATGCCGGTGCTGGCGTTGTCACAATGGCCAGTCCCACGGTGACCATTACTGGAGAGACCTCCGGCACTACCGGCGGTGGTGAACGGCCAGAGAAGTTGCGAGCCAAGGAACTGCTAGTGAACAAGCTATACGAATGCAAGCTGTGCCCCAAGGGTTTCCGCACCAAGCACGAGTTCCGCACCCATGTCTACGACAAGCATGCGGATGTGCAGCGCAAGGATAACAACTCGATACAGTGCAGCTTCTGCGGCCTGGACTTTGCCGATCCGGTGGACAGGCGTCGCCACTACAATAATATGGACTGTATTGTGCGTCTGCGCTGCATGACCTGCGATGCCAAGCTGGAGACGCATCAGCGCTTCCTCGATCATGTGTACCAGGATCATCTGGGTGGCGTGAGCGGTGGCGGCGGCGGTGCCAGCAGTGATAATGCCTCAACGACAGGCAGTGGCCTGGCCAGAAGCAACAGTATGGAACACTCACCGGGCAAGAGGAGTCTGCTTGGTGCCCTAGGCATAGGCATTGGCTCATCGGCTGAAGAGTCGCGCAGCAGCAGTGTGGCACCCACACTGACGTCCACACCCAAGCCAGCGGGAGGCACGGCCACAACGGCCTCCTCTGCCTCTGCGCCCAGTTCGACCAATCGTGGTGATGCGGCCGCACCCAAATCCCAGTACTTTTCGCGAATGCCGCAGGTGTGTCCCATTTGCGGACAGCAGTACAATAACTACAACAACGTGCTGCGCCACATGGAATCGAAACATCCAAACAAACTCCCCGAAACATACAAATGCGTACGCTGCGGCCTGGGCTATCCACGGATCTCCTATCTGCGGGAGCACATGATCAATGTTCATGGCGTGGACAAGAATCGGCACTCGGGCGGCTTCGAGTACATTGTGAATGCTGATGCCGTGAAGTTGGCGGATGGCAGCACGCCGAATGTGTACACGGGTCGCTACGACTACGTGATGAAGGACTTGATGTCGATAACAAATGGTGGGACCCTCGGTAATTAGGCTTAGTTTGTAGACGTCCCTCGCTATGAGTCTCTGTCTCTCTCTCTCTCTCTGCCTTTTGTACGCGTCCTTACAATATTTTCTGTTAACCTTTTGTGTCTTAATCGCTTATTTAGGACTAACCCTAGTCCTGTCAGATATCAAATTGGACTTCCTCTTGATGTACATCCCCATTTCATAGTATCACTTGGATTATTAACAAACTTACTTGTAATTAGTGTTTTTAAAAATCATATTGTCATCTTTGTGACTTTGTGTGAAGCTTAGACGTCTTTCAACCAAAGATTTATGGCTCTTATTTTTTCCTTTTAAAAATCCCCGCAAGTTTCGCTAATCCATAATTTGTCTCCTTGACAATTTTATAGACGAAGACGATGAGGAGGCAGCTGGCAGCGTGGCCAAGAAAATCCGGCTCGACGACAGCAGCAACAACAGCAGCTTGGCGGGCGTCGCCAGTCAGCAGCAGAAGGAATGTCCCATCTGTAATGCAGTGTTCAGCAACAACATTGGGCTTTCCAATCACATGCGCTCCCATTATACAGCTGCCAGTGTGGTGACCGCAGCTCTGGCGGCCGCCAATCGCATGACACCTAAATCACTGACCATAACAGCAACTCCAGCGGCAACAGACGCGACTCCAGAGGCGGAGACGTATACCGCGTCGGCCCCCAGCAGTAATGTTGTGCCACCGGCGATGGCCAATCAAACGCCTCAGGAGCAGGCCGTATTTCGTCGGAGTTTGGATCAGGCGGCCGACCGTCGCTTCCGGCGAATGCGTTGCCGGATTTGCCAGCGGCGTTTCAGCTCGAAGAAGTCCTATCGCTATCACATGCTGACAGACCATCAGGTGCAGAATGTGCAGTTTATCAAGTGCAAGCTGTGCAACGCGGAGTTCGCCTACGAGAAAGGTCTGAAGGTTCATCTGTTTAAGGTGCACGGTCGGGCCATCAAGGACGAGATGATTATCAAGCAGTTCGAGTGCGAGGTCTGCTCGATTGTATACAGCTCGGAGTTGGAGCTGCAACAGCACAAGCGTAGTGTCCACAAGCTGTCCTCGGCATCGGCCTCTGCTTCTGCCTCAGCATCTGCATCGGCGTCCGCCTCCACTTCATCGAAGATGGAAGACGACGGTTTGATAGACGAAGAAGGCAAGCCAACAGCCGGTGGTGATCATGCCGATCTGTCCACTCTTTCTGCCAACGCATCGGGACTGGGAGTGGGTACGCCGCTGTATTGGTACCAATGCAAGTACTGCCCTTCGAACTTCAACACCAACAAGAAGCTGGCCATTCACATTAACTCGCACGACGAGTTTGACTCAAATGATTACTCCTGCAAGGATTGTGGCAACGTGTATAGTGGACGCAAGAGTCTATGGGTAAGTGTTTCTGTGTATTTTCTATAACCAGTTGCACGTGCTTAATGCTGCGTCTCCACCCTGCCAGGTGCACCGCTACAAGAAGCATCCTCAGGTGCCAGATCCGGCCGAATGCTCGCTGTGTCGCAAGATCTTCTTCGATCGTCAGATGCTGGACAACCATACGCCCACCTGCAACCGCAAGCCAATCACCTCGACGGGCGCACACCAGCAGCAGGATTCGCTGCAGCAGCAGCAGGCAGCACTGCAACGTGCTGTTTTCAGGCACAAGACGGGTGACGATGACGATGAGGAAGATGATGGCCAACAACAGCTAGAGGAGGGTGATAGCAATGGGGGAGTAACAGCGTCGGCATCGGGAAGTGCAGCCGTGGCAGTGTCAGCTTCTGCCCAGGCCGCACTGAAGATTCGCATACCGGAGGTGGCCTGCACCATTTGCGGGGCCCGATTCACCGATCAGGAGCATTTTAGCAAGCACATCCAGAAGCATGAACAGGAGCTGTATGTGGACGATCCGCTGGCGGCAATGTTTGACGATGGGCCGGCGGATGCCGGTCAGTTCCAGGTTGAGCGGCAGAACGAGAACGGGGAATATGCGTGCGATTTGTGCGCCAAGACGTTCCCCCAGGTGATTGCGCTCAAGGTGCATCGCAAGTGGCATTTCAGAGGTGATAGCAAGCAGGTGAGCGTTTTTCGGCTTGTGCAGCGAGGAGGATGACGAGCGACGATGGGCGAGTAGTTTCGTCTGTCGTGCCACCCACTAACTAACTAACTAAACTAATTAATAATGTGCTGATGATGATGATGATGCCTCCGCACCAGTCGCAAAAAACAGATATCAACATCTCGTCATTGTAATCGGAACTTTAACTAATCTATGTTTTCTCTTTTGCCTTCCTTTCTCTTTACCCCTTATCCCTCCGAATCCTGCCACATTCTTGGAATCCTTGCAGAACCCCATCGACGTCGAAGCGACACAGTTGACCAACAACAATCACACTACCAGCAACAACAACAACAACAGCAGCTCGATGTCACACCTCCGCGAGCTGCATGCGGTGGGCCTGATGCCCAACCAGCAGCAGCAACAGCAGGGCCACAACAGCAACTCAAGCAACAGCAACAACAATATGAATCACAGCGGCGGCAGCAGCAGCAGCAAGTCGATGAAGCGGAAGCGTGAGCTGAAATGCGAGTACTGCGCCTCCACCTTCATCAGCAACAACAATCTGCGCCGCCATATGTATGAGCTGCACAAGCACGAGGTAAGCAATCTTCCGGAGCCGCCGGTCATCTTGGTGGACGATCATCTCCAGTGCCGTCGCTGTCAGCTCAGTTTCGAGACAAAGGAGCTGTGGATCGAACACAAGCTGGCGGATGCGAAGGTGGTGCGTCCGTTCTGTCCCTTCCAGTGGGGTTGCGACCTGTGCGGCGAGTATCTGTCGCGGAAGGAGAAGCTGATGAATCACATTAACAACCATCTCAAGGAGGATGTCATTGTGCCGGTGGCCACAAAGGCGGCCATTGATCGGGAAGCGACGGCAATGGCAGCGACATCAGCAGCTGGGAATGCGGCGGAATTAACAGCAGATGATGGAGATCAAGATCGGGAGAACGAAGCTCGGGACAACAACGATAAGGCGGTAGTGGGAGGAGCACAAAAAGAAGAGGAAAGTGATGACCTGGACGAGGATGATAGCTCAGGCGAGGAGGAGGAAAGTTCAGGCACGGGAGACGATGAGGATGATGACTCTGATGATGATGAGGATGATGACGACGGCGATGGAGGTGAAGGTGAAGATGAAGAAGGTGTGCAGCCTGGTCATCTCTTGCCCCAACAACAGCAGCAGCTCCAGCAGCAGCTCCAGCAGAAGCACCAGCAGCCGCAGCTCAATCAGGACGACGATGATCTTGTCGAGGAGGTTATTAGCTCAGGAGACGAAGATGATGGCGAGGTGGAGAGCGACGATGATGACGATGACGATGTCGAGGAGGATGATGATGAGGATGTCGACGATGAGGATGACGATGTGGAGGAACCGGAACCAGTGGCAGTGACCCTACCGCCATCGCAACCCCTGATGAATGGCAATAGCAAGGCCAAGTCAAAAATGCCGCCACTGATTATGGCCAGTTCCGACGAGGAGGAGGATGATGGTGTTATGCCCATCGATGATATTATCGAAGAGGAATTCGACGAAGATGACGCCATGCCAGATCCAGATGCCGATCCGGATGTGGATGATCCCATCGAGGAGGTGGATGATGATGATTTGGATGAGGGGGATGATGTGGAGATGGAGGAGGAGGTGGTGTCGGCAGCCTCCTCATCGGAGAGCGAGTCCACATCAACGACCACGTCCAATTCGCACTCGCATTCACATTCCACGGGTGAGCGGCGTAAGAAGAGGGCTGACGATCAGTTGAATGATCCCAGCTTTACCTGTGATCTATGTCAACTTTGTTTTGATTCCCAGGAGCTACTCCAGAGCCACATCAAAAGCCATTTCCTCAATGGACCAAAGCTTACAGTGGCAGCAGCAGCAACAATGCCAGTCGCCGCCGCACCAGCAGCAGCAACAACAGCAGCCGGCAGCGCGGCGGCATCGTCAAAATCGTCACTAACAACGGCGACGGCGCCAGCAAAGACGAAGCCTGACTCCAAGTCAGCGCTGCCTGCCAACAACAACAATAAGAGCAGCAAGACTGTTGCAGCTGCAGCTGCCACTAACTGAGTCACCTCCAGCCACCATCACCATTCACTCGAAACTCTCATCTCAAAACTCCAATCACTTGAAATGTACAAAGCCAGTCAGACCACTGTTCACTCAAAAGGCACCGCCATCATCCTCATCTCATCATCTGAACCTTAAGTAGAGCCTAAGAGCAGCAGCAGCGAGATGAACAGCAAACGCATTCCATCAGAAATTTGGCCACGATATATATGTATAGCACGTGTGGCGCGGGTTGTGTGTGTGGCGTGTGTCCTACCTACAATACTTTTTAGCTTGCTTCTAGTCTTAAGAACTTAACACACACACACACACACACCGATACAGATATATATGTGTATGCATATATATATATATATATATATATATATATATAATTATCTAAGACGTATTTTTTTTTTAATGTTAGCCTAGTTTCTACCGCGCATTCCATTGATGGACTCTTGAAACTAGAAACTGAAGCTGAGTCTAGTTTCTGGGGTCGATGAATGGAACTCAAAAGTACACAAGGGTTAAGTTTAACTTTATATATACGAAAACAAAACAACATATTACCCCCAGATATAATAGTCATATAAGCTTACATATAAACACATCTATATATATATATAGGAAGGAAGGTACGTCTAGTACCATTACACACATCAATTATTCAAGCAGGAGGGAAGTTTCATGAGACGCACCAAAGTAAGCGGACAGAATGAAGCCGCGTGAAAAGGGGGGAAACCGCTCAGTTAGACTTAGTAAAAGCCATCAGGATTTTCAAAGTATTTCACACACAACACGCATGACAAGCAAAACACACTCACAAAGGTTTGAAAAACCCAAAGCGATAGATGTATAAATCTGTTTTTCTTTTTTTTTATTACATTTTGATTTTACTTTATGTTTGTTGTATTCAAACTTTGGTCTTCCTTAAATTTCTAACATCGGTACTGAAACCGAAACATGCCTCGCTTATAGGCCTTTTATTTTTGGTTTATCAACATAAGAATCTAATGATAAGAACAAGAAACCAGATTTCACATGAAAAACACAGTAATTGGGTTCCAGAATTTCGAAATTTTCCAAGTTTGTCTTTTTGATTTTGATTTTGAAAATCTATAAGGATATACGTTACTCAAGCTAGACTGAGGGAGAGTTCCTAGCAGTTTGTTTTTACGTTTCTTAAAATTTTCGAGCATTTTATTTCTATAACAATAATCTTTCTTTCACCTTACACCATGGCAAGGAAGACCAAGGTCGATGCTAGGTCCGTACCAACGTGGATAAAAAACTCATTAAGGAAGAGGCCTAATCCATTTAGAATTGCGACACACAACAAAATACAATGGCATTATATGTAAAACCTATGCTTAAGAAATCTCTAATATGTATAACTGAAACTGTAGTCTAAAACGTACAAAATAAAATAAAAAAACAAGAAATGCATCAATATATAAGCAAACTTTTGTCCCTCACGCGTTGATGAATCGAAAAGAAAATAAAAGAAATGTAAACCGAAAAAAAATAGAAAATCTCGTTTTGTGTTGTCTTTTTTAAGAGTGGGAGTATTAATTATAGCCCCATAAATAATTATTCTTAATAAAAATTGGTCTTGTGCTTGGTTGTTTATTTTTAAAAATCGTTCCAGAACATATACATATATGGATTACAGATAGCTTTGGCAATAGGCCTCATTTAAGTCGTGCAAAATCCTTCGACAACAAATTTACTTCATATTAAGTTCAATTCGAATTAAAGACCGACCTGTGGTCATTACAAAATATTTATTAGCACTCATAAACGTATTAATAGATTAGGCAAAAGGCACGAAGTAAAACATTACTTGTTTGCCATTTTTAAAAGCAAGGGTGGAAGTGCGTGTGTGGTTCTTCCCATGTCATGCGCAAGGATACGAGTTATAAGTTAGTAACAAAATAATAATATATAAAAAAATCACAAATCTTATACGGATGCATAAGCGGAGAACAGAATGGGGTTTAACAAGGGGCACAGCCAGCTCCTCCTGGGGATAAACATACTGCGAAAATTAGGATCGAGAAGAATACATGGTGCAAGAGTTAATCAATATAGATTACTTTATGCAGATAGGGCTTATACAGATGAATTCTACTAAAGCTATATGTGATGCAGCCGGGTATGCTGTCGCTGGTGGTGCCGGGCCTAAGAGTACTGCGTGTGCGGATTCACGTTGATCATCTCCATGTTGCTGCTGGGGAAACAGAAACGAAACGGAAGCATTTGATTAGTTCAAGAGCTGCTTGTCAATCATTTTTTGCTAGTGCTCGATAAGCTACAACTACTTAAACATCATCTATACTTATCGCGGACCGGCAATAGCTTAACTTAGCCATGAGATATGATGATAGTGGGGACTTCGGTTAGGTGGCGGTGGCTTCTGGGCTCTTTTTCCCCGACCCCCTACCCGGTGGCCTAAGGCTTACGGTTCTACGGAAGTGCGTGGGGAACGGAAACAGGAACATGCATAGGACATGGGAGTAATGAGGATGATGATGAGACGGAGAAGGGGCATGAGGATGAAAATTGGCTCACCTGCGACTGCAGCGCACGTGAATAAAGAGCAGGGCCAGGCCCAAAGTGATGCAAATAGCGCCAACCACAATGTAGGCGATGCCCAGGAAAGGATTCTTGCCACCTAGCACAGAGGTGGTTGACAGGATCATACGCTTGGTGCCATCAAACGAGACAACTGGATATTCTGAAAGGGAGCACGACAATACGCACAGTCAGTCCACAGATCTAGAACAGAATTAAGTTCTACTTACGATACTTGACGTTCAGCGTATAATCGCCAGCCTTGAGACCTTTTGCATAGGCGGGTTCAGTTTGGTTCAACCGACGATAGAGCTTCCTGAAGCTGGGCAGTGCCGCAGTTCGCATCCACACGATCAAATCCTCGTTTTGGAAACCATTGTTCTCCGGATTCTCGGGGTCCAAATCAGCTAAACCCTTTTGCCAGAACAAGGGCTTTGCAAAGTCCTGGAGGGACACGTTAAGGTTACCCTCCGGATTGCGGAACTTCACTCGCTTATCCGATGGCCACGCAATGCCCGTCTTGAGCAGCTTGATCTCCGAGCCAGCTTGCGACAGGGAAAGCGTGTCTGAAACGGATCAAGGTCTTATTTAGTTTGTGCATCGATTGAAGGCCACAGGACAAGCCGCACCATTGAACAGCGAGTTGGCGATGGCGCCGCAGGGCGCAATCGGCTTGTTGGTGTCTGGATCGATGGCAAAGGGTGTGCAGTCCGAGCTGGGCGTCTGCGAGAGGTGGCCTAGCAGCTGCTCGTCGTCGCGCGACTTCACATAACGCCGATGGTTCTGGTAGTAGTTGGTCAGGCCATAGTACATGTACACCACACCCTTCAAAACAGTAATGAAGGCAAGCGTTAAGCGCGTTAGGGGAGTTTCTTTCCAAGCTTAACTTACATTGAAATCCTTAGGAAGGGTAAAGTTTATCGTGCAGGTACACTGACCACCCGGGTTCTTCTCCAGATAGTCGGAACAATTACCGTTCCCGTTTCCGCACCAGGTATAGTCGATGATATGTTCATTGGCCGTATTTGACAGGTGCAGCAGGACGACACCGATGGGTATGAAGAGCACTCCGATCACAAAGAACGTCGGCAGGACTGTGCGGGCGGTGAGAACGGGCTGCCAGGCGGGCAGGCGTTGCTGCTTGAAGGCCGAATCTAAGAAGAGAGAAGGGGAGCAGAAGGTTAGCAACTAGACAAGCCAACTTCATGACCTCATATGGCCCCAAACGGCTACACGGGAGCGAGGTGTGGCGCGCAGGACGGCCCGTAAATCGATTTGACGCAAAACCAATAAGTAGTGAGTGGACATTAGTCATTCCCTGCCATTCCGATTCCGTCAGGGGCCTCTTATCACGCATAGCAACTTGTTACATGCGCTTGTATTAGTGGGAGTGCGACTGCGAGGTGTGGAGTGGAATCGAACTGGGTTTTCACCTGAAGGTCGCTTGGACTTCTGCGCTGGAATCTCCTCGTTCTCCGCATGCTGCGTAGACATGACTCCGGATCGCTGGTCCCTATCGGGTTAATCTCTGGGAGCAGCTGGGAAAAATTAACGCACAACAGGCGAACAGAGAGGGTCTTCAAAAACAAAACAGTCACAGTTGGGCCAATCGAATAAAGTAAATACAAGAAATTTTCTGCCACCTAGCGATGGCACTATGCATATCGATATACATCGATAACATCTTAAGCATTCGACGGAGGAATACAACTAAATATTTATGAATTTTTATTATAGTTTACTAAAAATTAAGCACAATAAAATTTAATTTGACTTAAGCATTTAGATTTGTTTGAAAAACACAGTCTCGGAATTTTATAGTTTTATTTTGTGTTGCGAAACCTTAGTAAAATATGTTAAACTAATAAATTACATTTTGTTGCCTCCTCCCAAATTTATCACGTTATTCAGCTCCTCCACAAATATACATACCATAAATATGCAGTAATTAGACTAGGAATTAATTTATTTTTTAATCAAGAAGAACACACCCATCGATAAACACCCATGCAACCCTGGTTGCGGAGGCGGCGTTTTCGCTGTGTCCAAACAAAGCAGGCAGAAGAATTATCACCGCACACGGCAATAAAAGAGGAATAGGCAGAGATATCCAGTCCTCCAGATCACAACCACAGTTTCCAGTCCCGAGTAGCACATCTAGGATCAGCAGGAAGAGCAGCAGGAGCAGCAGCAGCGGTAGCGGCAGCGGCAAAAGCAATGAAAATCACAGTGACCACCAGCGATGACAAGGTTTTCTGCCTGGACGTGGCCCAGGATCTAGAGCTGGAGAACCTCAAGGCGCTGTGTGCCATGGAGATCGGTGCGGAGGTCTCCCAAATAGTAGTGCTCTTTAACGGACGTGAGCTGACCAACAGCAAGCATTCGCTGCAGCAGTGCGGAGTTGGCGATGGCGACTTCATCATGCTGGAGCGACGCAGGAGTGTGAATCGGCCAGGTAAGCTGGAGGGGGGTAGTGTTTGCGGGAGAGCCGAGAAGGCCAAACATTAAGTGGGTCATTTTCTGGCGGGGATCTGGCGCCTTGCTTGGCTGCTGCTTTCGGCTCCTGAAAAAATTGAATTGCGATTCTGGCTTTTGTGACACTCTTGTTTTTCGAAATTTTCGATGCGTGTATTGTCTCTGCATGCATATGTGTGTGTTTGTATGTGTGCCCGCATTTCTGCGTAATTTCTTTTTGTTTACTTGTTTTTTGAATTTTTTGGAAAAGCACAGATCTCTGTGGCGCAGTTGCTGGTAAAAATAAACGCGTTCCTTTCATTCTTTCTTTTTGCACATTCCAAAATAAGTGAAACACGCTCGCACACACACACGCACGCACACACTGGAAGCCGTTGTCGAGTGTGTGAGTGTTACGGGTCACAGCGGTGGCGGAGAGGAAGCAATGCTTATCTGCTTCCATCGCAGTTGTAGATAAAGAGAGAGGAGACCACAGAGAGAGAGGATGCAATAAAAGTGGAAGTGGAGAAGGAGAAGGACCAATAGTAGCAGGTGATAGTGCTGCTCATGGATCATCCATTCGGTAGCGCTCCATTCCATTGACCCCAGCGTGCGTGGTTGGACTTGTCTGTCGGAATGGGATCGTCGTGATATGTATATGGTGACTGCATGCAGGTGTGGGCGGCGCCAAAAATTGCGATATCAAGCAGTGTACAGAGAACATTTGGACTCTGTACATATATACATACATACATACATATGTATGTACAAATCATAGCTTGGTTAGATCCATATTTGGTCATTCATGTTCCCTATTTTCTAGGATAACAGAAGCTATTGTGAGGCCAACAGCTCTAGTAAAACTTTAAAATTGTTAGGTCAACTAAAGACTAGATCTCGCAGAACCTATAGACCATATTTTCTACAATCTCAAAAACCCCACTCAAAGGTTAATCCTAATACTGAATCGCATTTATTTTTATTTCAGGTAACACAACCAATCCACCAATGGATTGGACTGGCCTGGACTTTAGTAACATCGCCGTGCCGGGCACAAGTACCGGCGGCAGTCCGCCCACCAGGAGAAGTACCCAGCAGGGAACGCAGCAGCCGCAACAGCAGTTCAACAATCCCACAGACATCCCATTGACCGACGAGTTTAATGTCAACTTTGATGACGATCCGGCAACGGTGCGACAGATGTTTCTATCTAGTCCCGAAACGCTGTCGTTGCTGCGACAGTATAATCCTCGGTTAGCGGAGGCTATCGATTCCGGTGATCAAGAGACCTTTGCCCGTCTGCTTCGTGAGCATATAACAGAGCGAAAGCGAAAGAACGAGCAACGAATGCGTATGCTAAACGCCGATCCCTTTGACGAGGAGGCTCAGCGTCTGATTGCCGAGGAGATCAAGCAGAAGAACATTCAGGATAACATGGCGGCTGCCATTGAGTATAATCCAGAAATCTTTGGAACGGTCACTATGCTGTGAGTCTTTACTGAGTTCCTAAACGAATTCACAATGGGCTAACATTGTCTTTTTATAGCTACATCAACTGCAAAGTGAATGGCATACCGGTGAAGGCCTTTGTGGACTCGGGCGCCCAGACGACAATCATGAGCAAGGACTGCGCCGAGCGCTGCCACGTTAATCGGTTAGTTGACACGCGCTGGAACGGCGTGGCCAAGGGCGTCGGCACACAGCCCATTCTGGGCAGGATTCACATGGTGCAGCTGCAGATTGAGAACGATCACCTTACGTCCAGCTTTACGGTGTTGGGCCATCAGCCCATGGACATGCTGCTGGGTCTGGACATGCTGAAGCGACATCAGGTGAGACAACGAAATGATTTTTGTTTTTATCTCGGTTTAAGTGACGTACATCTCTTGTTGGATCCCGTACATCCTTCGTAGTGCCTCATCGACTTGCAGCGGAATCTGTTGATTATCGGGACCACCGGTACGACAACACCGTTCCTGCCGGAAAGCGAGCTACCAGTCGGTGCCCGGCTCACAGGTAACTCGGACGATTCATTTGAGCAGCAGGCCATTGCCGATGCCATTGAGCAGAGTAAGCGAGAGGGCGGGGGCGGCGGAAGTGGCAGTGGCAGCAGTACGAGCGGTAGCGGATCGAATACCATTCAGCCGCTGGACCGATTCACCGAACAGGATGTCACTGATCTCATGGCCCTGGGCTATCCGCGGAGCGATGTGCTCACCGTGCTGCGCATGTGCGGCGGCAACAAGCAGGCGGCCAGTTCCGTGCTGCTCAACCGGAATGCAGCCGCCTCGGGCGGTGGTCTCAGCTGAACGCGGCTCGATGCTCAGCCTCAGCCCCCACCTCAAGAAGCCCCACTACCCACAGTCAGAAACTGGATTGCTTTATGGATTACTCCGAGCAATACCAAAACAAAAAGAAATAATAATAAACAACAAAAATCAGAAAAGAGAAAGAAACAACTGGAACACACACACACAACATCAACAACAACAACAAACAAGCAATGAAAACGGAAAACGATAACGAAAAACCTTTCTTATTTAGTGAAATTTTTGTAAACTAAAGCCACTTTTTTATATATACAGATGCTCGTTATTACGATGTACAATAGCTAATAATTAGGAAGCATTTCCATCAGCGGATCATTTTGAAAGGAAAGATTATATCTAAAGAATATTGATGATAGAGAAAAAAGTTTAAAATAGGCGATTAATTTATCAAAATCAGGGACCGTTGCAATTATTTACACAATTCTTCAGATTTATCTATTGTTTTTCATTTACAAATGTCAATTATTATATTTTATATTATTTCATTTATCCACAAAAGCTTTCTTGTTATTAAGTTTAAACCAGATTTATTTGTTATTCTTCAAAGGTTATATTTATAGAAACAAAATGTAAAAAACTATTGATTGCAATTTAAAATTTAATGTATGCCAAAACTATTATTTACTCCCGAGCTTTATATTATTTCAAAATATCAAATAATTGTTGGCGGTCTCTGTTAAAAAAAAAAACAAAAACAAAACAAAAATTAATATATAAACATATACAAAAGTAAAGAAACGAGGAATCGATGCGACATAATCGTTGGATAACTGGAAATGGACGGAGCAAGTGGTGATGGAACCAAGCCGCATCAACGAAATAATGAAGCTGTATTAGGAGGAAATACACACAAGAAACAGATGAAAGAGTACGCCTGACTATTAATATATATAATTATATATATATTAACCACATACACACACATATATATAAACATTATATACAATTTGAGCTAGTATTAAGGCTTAATTATCAAGCAAAACTGAAAATTGGGTTCAATAAAAGGTCGAGTATTGTTTTGGATTTGGAAAGGAAAGGAAATACGAATAAGCGCACACTGATTTCTCTTTTGGGCTCTCAACGTTCCGTTTTCACTTTTAATATTGTTCGTTATGTGGTATAATTTATACAAAAAAAGCTGCAACTTCTTTCTGGTCAGCTGTGAACCCATACACATGTAAGGATTTATTAATATGCAAAAATCTGTTGTTACTATTGTTGCCGCCGCTGTACTCTAGTCCTCATCCTCCTCGTCATCGTCGTCATTCTCACCGGCAGCCGCCGCCGATGCCGATCCCTTGTGATTAAACTCCTTCTCTGGATCAAACTGCATGCCCTCTTGATCGGCACCATCCTCCTCGTCATCATCACCGGCCACCTGGGCGTTCTCGGCCTCGGCACGCTCCAGGCGACGGGCCAGATCAGCCTCATCGATGGCAGTAACCAGCTTGGGAGCCATGATCACCTTGAACTCGCCCTCGTGCTCAATGATCTTGGCGCGAATATTCTCAATGGCCACCTCCAGAGCCTTCAGGCCGTCTGTCTTCTTTGTGGTTGAAGTGGTCATCACATAACTGTCCAGAGATTAACAATTAAATTTAATCCAGAATGAATTTCATCATTGTGGGAAAACTTACAGAGGCGGTGCTATCAGGTTGATGCGAATGGGCAGCTCCTCGGTGCTGAGCTCCAGGCCCTTGGAGAGCGACGCCTTGACCGCATCGATGCCCTCGTAGCCGTAACAGGAGCACTCAATGTCAGCACGGATCTTGACCGTAGGCGATACCAGCTTGCGTTTGATGTTGCTCAGCAACACCTCCTTTGTCTCCGCGTCCAGGTTGCACTCGTCAAAGACGGAGGGGTCCGTCACCGACTGCTTGAAGATGTCGTAAGCCACCGTCTTACTGTTGTATTTCTTCTCAAAGTACCAGGCGGTCTTCTGATATAGCTCCTCTAGCTTCTCGTTGCCCTCGTAGCCGAGGATGTCGGCAACGTGGCGCAGCAGCGAGTTGATAGCTTTCGCCTTGGCAAAGCGCTCCGTGCACTTCTCCACATCTTCGGGCGACACCCGGCGCTTGGACAAATCAATGTAGCCCTTCTCCTTGTCCACACGAATGACAACGACCGGCTCGGTCTTGCCTACGCGGATCAGCTTGTTGATGGAACGAATACGCCGGCGAGACAACTCCGAGAGCAGGATCATGCCCTCAATGTTGTTGTACTCCAGCAGATGCACGTACGCGCCCATCTCGGCGATGGAGAGAACGTTCACCATGACCACATCCTCGATCTCTGGGTAACGCTCATTGTAGAACCGCGACGTAAGTGCCATATTTGTCCGTGACTGTGCTACGGGGATTCGGATTCCGGTTGGCGAAACGCAACAAAAAGATAAAATACACTTCACGAAAGAAAAAAATTTGGGAAAACGTGGCTGCCCGCTTTTTATCGATACTTTGGTATGGGTTGATTGTTTTCTATGGAAAAAGTATCGCATACGTTCTGATAGATTTTGCTAGACTTGGCTATTTTCCCGTCAAATCTGGCGTTTTTAATTCAATTTAGTTGGCGAGAATTTAAAATACATTTCGATATCAGTAAATATTAGTATATATACACTTTTAAATAAATACTAAAGTTAAAGTCAATTCTTTCTTGTTTTTGAAATGTAAATAAATTTTTTAAATATAATTCTTTGCGCTCGCAAAACTATCGATAGCGCTATTGCAAGAGCTAGCGATGGACCGTGTGCAGCGAATTGGCCAGAGCTGCTACGTTGCTTAAAATTGCGGCGATTTGCAGCAGCAAAACTATCGATAGCGCTATCGCAAGAGCGGGCGCAGCGAATTGGCCAGTGCTGCTTCGTTACTTAAAATTGTGGCGATTTAAAATAATCCTCTAAATACCAACAGTTGGAATGCAATTGTCTTACCTTCATTAGGTTTAAATTAAAGGCCCTACTTGGATAGGGTGTTTTAACTCAGAAAGAAGAAAATATACGTAACTAAGCTCCTGCGGGCCATCAGGCCGGTGTGTACACACTGGCGGCGAATATTGCTGGTATTTCAGACTGCGGCGAATTCGCTCATTTGAAAAAAATAAAACATGGCTGGAAGAGGTGGTTATGAACACGCTAGGTAAATATTATTAAATTATTTTTGCATTTGCACGCACCGGCCGGCCGGGGAGTGCGGGAAGACCAGTGGATGTCGTCGCGACGCGTGTGATTTGATTGTAACGACGTTGTGCCCAAATGTGAAATAATGCACGCGGTTTGGTTTGGGCAAAAAGGCACCAGCACACCCGCACACACGCGCACATAAAATACATATATATATACGCGTGTACGTGTCGGTCGTTGGTCGCCGCCTTTGTGTGTGCGTGCGTGTGTGCTCTAGTGTGTGTGTTTTTTCTACATTCTTTTCCTCCTTTTCCCATGTTTTTTTCTCCTCGTTTTTCGGAAAATTCTGCAGCGTCGATGGCTGCGTCGCTGCCGGTGCCAGCGTCGAGCGGGAGCGGCACTAGCGGCGCCGAGGCCGGTGGCAGAGGAGCCACCAACCGGCGGAGCAGCATGCGTCCGTTCATGTGTCCTCCAAATATAGATCGAAAATCCTCATGTCGCCTGCAGTTCTGGACGAAAAGCGCGCGCTTTTGCCCCTCCATTTGACACCTGTCCTCGCCTCCGTCTCCGTTCTCGTCCCGTGCTACGTTTGTTGTTGTTTGCCCCGCATCTTTTGTTGATGTTTCGCCGGGAATCCGAGCCTGCGTCGCTAGATTTGTGTGCCATGTGCGCTTGGTTCGGCGAAAAGGGAGCCGGGATAGCTCCGAGGGTGGCTCGGGCCCCAAAAGACGAAGAAGAAGATGCAGACACACCCCCATTAATTGGATTCAGTTTCAAGGCAACGCACTCCCCCACGAGCATAAACATCAATCGGAAACAATAATATACACACGCAAAAGTTGGGCAACAATAAACAAAAAAAATCCAAGGGAAACGACGGCATCGAATTCGCATTCGCATTCACATTTGTGAGCATTCGTCAACAAATTGGTTACATTTTAAAAGTAACAACAAAGGCACACTTTGCCATGAGGTATAGCTCCTTTGAAAAGATGTTTAAACAGAGAAGTCGCTGGAACAAAAAAAAACAGAATCGATTAGCGGAAAAGCTAAATGAGAGTCAGCCTGTTTTTGGTGACATCATCCTGTCAATTGTATGGCCAAACTGCGGCCAGCCTGTAAATGAATCCATTATAGGGCCACATCTGTACCTAAGAACAACAGCCCCCCAAAAAACCTATGGATATGCTACACATATCTAAACCACATTTATTTTGTTTCATTTCAGAGGCGGATTCGGTGGCGACCGGCAGGGAAAGCAACTGCCACAGGAACCGCCCTTTGTCGCATTCGTCGGCAACCTGCCGCAGGGTCTGGTGCAGGGTGATGTGATTAAAATATTCCAAGACTTTGAGGTGAAGAACGTGCGGCTAGTTAAGGATCGGGAAACGGATCAGTTCAAAGGATTTTGTTATGTGGAATTCGAGACATTGGACAATCTGGAGCGGGCGCTAGAGTGCGACGGACGGATCAAGCTGGACGATCTGTCGGCACCACTACGCATCGATATTGCCGATGGTCGGAAAAATAATCGGTATGTAGAGGGGATAACTCTATTTGAATATAACCCAGAAATATGTTTTTTCGTTAATTATAATTACAGCCCTGGTGGCGGTATTGGCGGCGGCAATGGCGGAGGTGGCATGAGCCGAGACGGCGGCCGAGACGGTTTCCAGAAGCGCGGCCCGCCTCGCCAAGGAGGCAGCAGTCAGTCCTACAGTAGGGGCGGCCCTGGCACTGGCGGTGGCAACGGCGGTGGTCGCGAAGGCGGCGGCGGATCGGGTAATCGCGGCGATAGTAGAGGTTCGTACAATGATAGTTATGGTGGTCACAATGATAGAAGTCGCGGCAGCGGCGGCGGCAGCGGAACGGGCTCCGGCGGTGGCATGAATAGAGGATACAATGGTAAAGCATTTTTATCTGCCGTCCAACCAACCAACCAAATCAAGCAACCAACCAAGCAACCAATCAATCAACCAACAACACGTAGCTGCATCCCTCGTAGTGCTGCCAAAAAAACAGTAGTTGATTCTGATCCGATTCCGTCACCGATCCTGCCTCAAAAATACTCTCATTCGATTCGATCGCATGGCAAAGGAGACATCCATGCTGCAGTTTCCAAAAGTGATTCCTTAGTCTCCCTCTCACTCAATCTTTCCATTCGGCTATCAGTTCATGTTCCCATCCCTGCTTTTCGGTTTATCTTTTTCCCCCCTACGGTTCTGCAGGCTGAGTTGAGTTGGATTTGCTTTGCTTTCCTTTACCAGTCTTTCTATATTGGGGTTGAGTTAAATAGAGAATATATTCCAAATAAGTATTTGCTTGTTAGAGAGGGATAGGGTCCTTGTTTTAAATATATAAAACTAGTGGTATTTTGGTATAGAATTTCATTTATTATTTCACTTCGTTGTTTGTTTTCTTGTAAAGATATACACTCCATCCTATGTAATCGGCCACCTCCAATACCCCTCCGTTAAGCCCAGCTCCCTCGTAGCTCAGTAGACACTAAGCACTACCCCCATTTAGATAGATTTTAACCGACTTTTCAAACCCCCCCGCACGCTTTGTACCACTTTGAACTGCATTTTAGCTAGCATGCTAAGCCATACTCTCTAAGCAGGGCTCACATTTACTAAAAGATGCTAATCCCAGTTGCTTACCCGTTGCAGATCGACCGGCAAATCGGGGTCGGTACGGCAACTTCAACAACGACGATCGGTTCGAGCGCAATCAGGATCGAGACCGTGGTCAGCGGGAAGGCAGCTATGGCAACCAGTCCCGGGACGGCGATCGTTACAACAACTTCAGCCGGCATCGTGACCGTGAGCGTACCCACTACAATCCCAACCAGCAGAGTGAACGTCCCAGCGGCGGCTTAGGCGGCGGCAGTGGTGGAGGCAGCGGCTCCTCCATGGGCGCCATCGGTGAGCGGTTCTTATTTAAGGTGTCTTCAGTGTTATCCTTACCGTATTGTATTATATCTCTGCAGATGACAACGAACGGCCACGCCTGCAGCTGAAGCCGCGGACCATTGCTGCACCCATTAATGCGGTAGCCGAGACCAAACAATCGGCTTCCATCTTCGGCAATGCCAAGCCACGAGAGGAGAAGTTGAAGGAGCTGCAGCAGAATGGCGATAACTAGAGGTAACAGAACAGCGGCGGTTCGCAATATAATATGCCTGATATGATATTTTGGTGTGCGAGAGGAAAAGAAGGAGTGGAGATGGAGAAATAATGATGAAGCATCTGCAGAATGCATATATAAACACATACATTAATTTACGCTACATACCTATTATATACGAAAGATATGTACTACATAACAAGCAAGAGCGAAGATAAATGAAACTACAGACAGGCTGGCCTCTGTGTCCTCTGTGTGTCAGTGTCCAGTGTCAGTTAGCAAACCAACTTAACAGCAGCAGCAAAAGCAAATCGGCAACCCAGCAATCTTTCTTACTTTCAACAACAACAAGAGCAAGCAACAGCAATAAACCGCAGCATCCACAACAACAGCGACAACAAATGGAAGGTCTATAAATGTTAGTCTTTAAGCAGCGATAAACTTTAGTCCCGTGCATATGGCCTATATATATATATATATATATATATCATATATATATTTATATATATATATATATATCATATATATATTTATATATCATATATATATATATGTACACCAACAAAACAAAAACAAAAGCTCTACCATTAAGGCATAAATAGTAAACGAAAAACAAAAAAAAGTGAAAGCTAAACAAAAAACTAGAAAATCAAAGCAAAAAACTCGAAAAAAACAAAGCAAAAATCGAAAATAAAAATACATTTTTGACAAAAGGTTCAGCGTAGTAGAGAGAGAGAAGGCAGGAAGGCAGGCAATTTATACAGTTTATATAGCAAAAAACGACAAAAACTGAAAAAAAAAACCAAAAAAAAGAACTATTAACGAAACCAATTATTGAACATATATAGTATAAACCTTATGAGAAGAAACACCAAGAACAACAACAAAACACCAATAACAAATAACAGAGATCTAGTAACAAACGCAGAACACCAACTACTACGTACGTAAAGAAAAAAAAGAGGAAACAAAACATGCAGATGAGAAGAAGTAATGGTTGAAGTTTAATTAACAACAACAACAGCAACTTTATATATTTACAAATGAGAAACGCAACTACATACATACATAGATCTATATGTAACTGAAGAACCAGAGTCTAAGTCGCAAATCAATTAAGTTGTACGATTATTATTCATTCTTTAGTTTAACCTGCAATACTTGCACCAATTCGCTTGTACTGTGGACTTTCCCCCACTCTTTTCTATTATTGAATATTAAATTCTTATCACTCGTACAGAGACACACCTACACACACACACACACACACACACACAACGGACTTCATTTTTGTAGATAACAACCTTTGTAAAAGACGCAAGAAGTGTATAAATTTAATTGTTGTTTGTTTCGATTTTTCTTTGCACTTTGCACACTAAGATGTACGTAACGTCAGAATGAATAGAGAAAGCGTTTTTCCCCCTTCTTTACCTTTTTACTTTTTTTATTGTTTTTCCAAAAGTTATATATCTATACTACTTTTTTTTTGTAACCCCTTTTTTTTAATTGTATCTTGCAAGAGCTGAAAGAAAACGCGAAAATTGTAAATTAATTTGAAAATAAAGCAAAAACATTTACATAAGAAACAAAAGTACTACCGTTCTGTTTGGTGTTTTCCTTCGGACTAATTCGGAATTCGTTTCGGAGTGCGGCTCAGCACTTTGTACATAAAACAAAAAATAAATAAATAATCAAATTCCCCTGCCCCTTACGATTCCCAATCGGGGAGTAAGAATTGTTGTGTTGTCAATATCCTTTCCCCCCAGCCCCGCCCCAAGAATAAAGAGAACAGAAAACAAAGAGAGATAAAAATGAACATGAACACGAATAACCGATTTGACCGACAAAGCTAAACCAGAGTTAACCGCGAACAGAGCAGGCGCAGCAAAGAAGCAAATAGAATACAAATGAAAGAGTATCGTGTAACAGTAACAGTTAAAAGTTAAAAGTAAACATTACGTTTAATATATATACATACATAGAAAGCTAAAGATAAACTTTAACTTTAAACATTTAATTTTTAGCACTAATACCGTAAGCAGTCAAAGATTTACACTAAACCGAAAAAATGGACAAACAATATTTGTAATTCCTCAAAAAATAAATGAAACAAAAACTAAAAAATATGATCGAGTTGAAACTTACTTATACATATATGCTGCTCTTAAAAACCCTAATTAAGAACTTTGATATGCATTTTAAAACGCCCATAAAGACGAAACAATTGTTTAAATTAAAACAAAACAAAAAAAAAGGAAAAATTAAAACCAAAAGCGACACTAAAACGAGAAGAGAATTTATACAAAGCAAGAGTTAGACATTAACTTACATCATAAACAAAACTATATACAAATATAAATAAATATACGCTATGGTTAATGACGAAACTGATTGCGTAAGCTAAGAATAAATAGCAATTCTAATCTTAGCGATTGCAATAAATTGAAACAAAAGAGTTCTCCGAAATTAGAAAGTCTATAAAAAGGAATAAAAAAAACAATCGTAGGTCGAGGAAACACATACATTTTTACCAATTACAATTACAACACAGCAGCAAGAACCGCAAATGCTAACTTCATGTAACTTGCATTAACAATTAAGGTTAAAAAAATATATATAAAATAAATTAAAGTCAGATCAACAGACTCAACAACAACAGACAACAACAAGAACAATGTTTAATTAAGTAAATGATGAACGAAGTATGAACAGCCCTAAACAAATTCACAATCCCATAAACACATTATATTAAAATATATAAATATATATTTTTTGTTGTTTGAACATTTTGTACGATACGTATATATAAATATATATACACATAACTAAACAAATAAATAAAAGAAATTATAATACAACTAATTTATTGTTGTTTACTGCGAATTATTACTATAATAAATCCTCTGGGGTATATAGCATACCTGTATCTATATTTCTATTGCTCTTTTCATATTTATTCAGCTTTAAAAATTCGGAATATTTCAATATCTCCATTGTTGTATTGCTGGAAATTTCAAAATTCCTTTGTCCCCTTCAAGCCTAAGGAATGTAATTTTGACATCAAGGAAAACACGAAATGAGTTTCATTTGCATAACAAATTCAATTAAATCTCATTTTATTTCAGTTTTGTTTGTTTGTTTTTTTTTTAGTTTTTTTTTTTTACAATTTATTAAGCTAAAGTGTGAAAAAATTTCGCTTTAATTATATATATAATCCTTTCGTTTTTGTATTGTTTGTTTTTTTGGTTTCATTTATTACATTACAATATTATTAGGTTGCCCATTTATTAATTTGATTTATTTTAGTTTGCTTTATTATAAATTGTTTTTGTCGTTATTTTTTATAAATTATACATAAATTATGCAACTGGCTGGAAAACTAAAAAAGCGTTAATTATTTATATATAATGAAAATAAAAATCGTTTACTTATTAGCGCGTTTCCTTTGGGCTTTTTCCTTAGCTTTTTGCTTTGTTTATGTTTTAGTTCATATTTTTTACATTTAGATGTTATTGTGCAGTTGTGGTTTTCTTTTCTTTTTTTTTTTGGGTATGCTTGTTTTTTTTATTATTTTATTTTGAATTAACTAATTATAATTCTTTTTTTTTTTTGCGTAATAAACTAATTCAGGCGTTTGTTTCTTTTCGTTTTACTTTTTATTTTAAATACATTAATCGAATATATCTTTATAAAAACAATTCTTGTCTGTCTGCGTGTGTATTACGAGTGTTTCTGTTTCTGTTTTGGTTTCCGGTTTGTATTTTTCCCATTTTCCCGTATTATTTTTAATAAAAATGAATACATACAAAAATTGTTGTTGTTGTGTTTCATTTGTCCCATATAGATTTCCCATACGTTGTTATAAAAAAATATATATATATGTATATTTATATTAATATGTGTGTAAGGTGTATATGTGTGGCTCAAACTTATTCTGTTGAAAAAATTGGTAACAGGAGGCTGCTTCAATCGAAAATCGAAGATTGTGCTCACGAAAACATTTAGATGTATAACAGCGATCCTCATTTCCGATCAATATAAATTTATATATTATCGTTAATAACCGCTGCGGTTCATAATATTTGCAAGATTTATTCATTAGGAGTATCGCTAATACAGGCTTTAATGTCCCATTAAAAAAAAAATTGTAACAAAATGCAGTGTGAGTGTGTGTATATGGATTTGTTGTGTGTGTCTGTTTGTCAAGCAAATGGACAAAGTGTTATACTACACATACTGTTATTCAGCTACATAAATATACTCATATTATCATATATATATATTTGTATATATATATACAGTCAATTTCTTTTTAGTAGAAAAGTGGCGGGTGTCATAATTTTTAGCATTTCTTATTTTTTGTATATTTGTTTGGTTTTTTTTTTGTTTTTTTGTAGCTGCTTTTACTTGATCGCACATATATATATTCTTTACATATTCATATGTATATATCTTTTCCATCTTTTAGGGGAGAATCTCTGTGTATATGGGGGTGTGTGCGTGTGCCTGAGTCTGGGTTTGAGTTGGTTGTCCTAGAGCCATCTGAACCACTAAGAATTTGTAGCCGGGGAAGTTGCTATCAAATAGAGTTGCTCGACAACGGCTGGATCGGGATGTGTAGGGATCTGGACCCGAGGATCAGGGGCCCAAAAATTGGCTAAAAAAAAACTAAAGGAGGAGATGAGCTAACAAACGCATATATATATAAAGATATGAATACGCTTAAACACTTTGAGCTCCGGTGCGCCTCTCTAATCGCTTCTCATTGCGGCCACCTTACATAAGCTCTGGTTCTGAATGATGAAATGTGGCTGTGTGTGTCTGTCTGCAGAAGCGAGAGAAAGTGGCTGAGCGGTAGAGAAAGGGGGAGAAGGTATTGTGTGTTGTGTGTGGTGTGTGTTTTAGAGTCAGACAGCTAGGCAGATGTAGGCATATGGCAGGCATATATAAAGTCTTTACAAAGACATCATCAGTTGCTTCGGTTTCTCACTAATAATTTACTTCAATTTTTTGTTGATTTTTTCGTATTTGTTTGCTTAAATTGTATTTTGTATAAAAAAAATATGCTAACGGTGCCTGGTGTCTTTCCTCTTCATTATCATGTTCTTTAACATTATATCGGATTTCTCTAATCTGTTATATCGGCTTTTGCTGTTTGATCTAGTTAAGACTTCCTTTAATATGTATATTTAAATGATGCGTCTCTTAGGTATAATGTATCCATTTTGCTAGCT